AGGTTTAAATCACGCTGGGACCGAAGTATTTTTTCTAAACCATCGGATCATTAACAAAAAATCGGAGATCATCCCAACAATGTCCGAATATTTGAACTCTATTGGTAATATTATTAAGTTGACCGATTCTAAAATCTCTGCTCAGGTGTTCTCTACTCGTCATGTATCATGGTCCACGAATGAACAATTTGTAAATGTCAAGTCTGTGGTTTCCAAAGCCAAAATAGGTCGATAGCACATTATACTATGTTATACATTGTCTGAACCCAATGCTTGACTCTCGTTGTTAATGATTAAAAAAAGATTTTAACAATTATCAAAAGGAAACATTGAATTGGTATGTTAGCTAAAATTACTTGCAATTTGTCATCGACCGCGCGACAAAAAAGTGGCCGTTACGTTCATTTACTTCCTGCGATAATAGTTGAAGAGCTACAGTTCAGTTGTTCACTATTGAAATGAATATCGGCCTAATATTAAGGAAATGATAATACTTTATGTTTTCTATTACGCTTAAAGGAACCTGACTTGCTGCTTGCTTGAATATTGAATTTTAACTTAAAATGTTCGAGTTCAAATTTATACGTTATGAAATTGTTAAAAGTACAAAGTATTTGTAAAAATGTTACTTTATTCGACGATTCGACGGGCTCTTCAATTTCAAAACATGTTGCTTAGCAACGTGTTTAAAACCAGATTCACAGGTTTGAATCCCGGGTACAAAAATTTGGTCAACTACTTGCCGATCAATAAAAACCTACAGTGAGGTGGACACAGAAATGTATTTAGCTCAGAGAGCAACGATAACATTTTTAAATAAAAGACTTTAACGGTTTTAAACGCAAAATATATGAGTTATATTTATTTGAAATATTAACATTTTATGGTACGTGGTATGGTATACATGGTACATTATTAAGTATTTAAGTACATTTTTATTTATCATTTATTTGAAATCGCCACAAATACTTCGAGAACCAGATTTCATCTCTTGGTGTAGCGCCTTCCTCTTGAATAAAGTAAAAACAAATGAAAGTCAGTCGGAACTCGTGGATATTCGATAATAACAGCCCGAGGCTCGCATTTCCGCTGAAAAATAGTGTTTAAAGCTCCGCGGCAATTAGACCCCCTGAGCTTCTCACCGGTCTTAATAATTGGCTACTGTTTCGAAAGATTTATGATAACACGTTAGAATATTACTACAACCTATCATTAGACGTATTGTGTTGAGGAAGGATGTAATCTTTTTAACTTTTTAATAATTCGGTTCGATTTTCGAATTGGTTTTCTTTTATGCTCAATTATTACTTAGGTACCTGTTCTAGAAGAAGGTTAGGTGCGTATAGAACGAAACTGTTGTTCTTTCTGATGATATAGTTAGATTCTTAGTCCTAAGATGCTAATTTAACTTACTTTCTAGAAGGTAGGTACCATGTATTCTGTTCCTGGTATTATCCAAATTATTTATATTTTGAAAATATATTTAGCCTCGGTAGAATCCAAACGTGGCTGACGCCCGATAGCATATAATCTGTGCTGGTTTTTCTTGATAACGGATGTGGACGTTATCCCAGAGAGTGCGAAGTGGGCCGGTAATTATAGTTCATGTTTAGCGTCCTCCGAACGGTTGCGGCTTTTTGTCATCGGACGATTATTTTGCGGTAACGTTTCTTACTTTTATTGCACGCTGTGTAATTCTACTTGTGTACACTGTATTCTGCTTTCCATAAAAGAAGTACTTCTTATTTATCAATCGGCTTTACACGGACAGGACTTGAACCCGCACACAGCGTTCCGTGCTGTTGTTCTAAACAATTTAGCTACCGTCCTACACGTCATTGTCTTATTTCTAATGTCAAACTCATTGATGCCTCCTCTTATTGAGACCTCCCGCGCAATGTAAAAATATATTTTTCATTTATATAGTTTACAAATTTATCTGTTTTTAGTTGGGGAGTACATTGCTTCGCATTTGAAATAGCTTTTACTTCTTACGTTTTCTCAGTCCTTACGAAAAGCAGTAGCGATTAGATAAAGCAGTACCGAAGTACATTACGCAATTCAATCTAGATAGATTTATGTTCCGACATAATTACAAGTAAACCATTTTAAATGGCTTATGTAAACAAGACCAGTTCCCTCGCAACATAGCCGCGATATGGCAATTATAAATCATATCGGAACGCAAAACACGACGTTGTTTGTGATTTGTATCACGTAATCATGTAAAGCTTATCTTAAACGATTTAATAATTAATCGGTAGGCGGAAAGTTTATATAATATATTATATTAAATAACCGGCCGGTCGGTAAATAACCGGTAATATACAATTATTTAGACTTACATGTGAAATAAGGGTTGGGGGGTGAAACAAAAAAAACAGCTTCTCCTCAACTCGTAAGTGCTTTCTTCATTATATATGGACGTTTTTCCTTTTCCTTACTTTTTAAAAATTAATTTAGGCCTCTTTTAAGCAGGTATTATGCTAATACTTAAATAGGTTTTTTTTTACTCTTTCTTGTAAAATCATATTTTGAATTTAATATGACGTTTGAATTTGAAATGCACCCTTGTAGTTGTCCTAAACCTACTTACAAAATAGTAGGTACAATTGAAACACAAAATAGTTTAATCATAGTGTTGGGTAAAACAAAATGTGTTTTCTTATAGATTTCTTTCAAGAATGGTTGCAGCAGCCGTAAAAAGCATCCGAAACGTCTGGCCGTAGCTAAAATAAATAAAAATATTTCGTGTTTTTAATAATAAAAAAAAGTTTAGTTTATTAAAATGTGTCCACATTTATTCGCGTAAACTACAGACATTGCAAGTCTGTATTATTTTTATTTGTTAGGGCCTGCACTGAAACTTAAATTTACTGTGATCAATGTGAATACATTACTACAAAAAATTTCTACCCTACATTGACGTTTACTTACGACCGTCTTTTGATTTATATTAGAACTAAATCGTCAAACTACATCTCGTTCTCCGCTATTATGTTTAACGCATAGATGTAGTCTAAACCTAGAATCTACACTTGTATTCATGACATAGACTTATGTCCTCGGAACAGACCATAACTCCGTTATTAACGGATAGGGATATAGGGCGAACGCGCAACGGTGCACTCGCGCATCATGTCATGATAATTCCATATCCGCATTACTTCATAGTATGCGTGTTATAATACAGTATTTTTCTAGAATTACTTTTTGCCCCATCATGTGCGAGACAGTTTTACAGAGTAGAGGCCAGAGTGACCTACTCCTTTTTTGTCTTGTTTAATACAAGTTTGTTGCATTGTATTATTTGAGGGTAGTTCTACAAAAAACAATGGAGGGAGTAAAGTTTGTTGCCAAATTAGGTTCTTTTCTTTTACTTTTATGTAAGTAACATACTATTCGTTTTAAAATGTTTTTGGAGTCTCAAAATATAGATTTGTAGTTTAGGAAGAATCTTTATACAAATAGTGTAAAATAGATAGCTTTTAAAACTAGTCTCTGAACTCGAAATCGTAAAATATGTTGAAAAAAATCGACGATGGCGTGTTGGACACGATAGCACAATTACTTAGAGTGAGCACTGAACGAACTAGAGAGCACGGAACTCTGCGGATGCCGGCTCATGTCCCGCCGGTGTTCCAAAAACTTTGTTTATTAGTTCTTAAGTTCTGGTAACTTTTAAAAACACTAAATCCACAATAGGTGACTCATCGATTGAAATCTGGGAAAAGTGCTGCCAACTTCACCATTTTTAAACCGGTCCTAATATTGGTATTCTCTGAAATACGTCACGCGTTTAATTGGCGCCAGGGACTGGATATCGTAAATGTAAATGTCAACGCCGTCGATAAACTAGTTTCACGAGAACTCTACGGTGACGCTGGGAATGCGAAATTTACAACGCTTTTGTCGCTTCTTAATTAATTGATAGTGTTATTGTGTGTATAACGATGCATGCATATTGCTAATAGACACGCAAAATGCTCGATTTTTAGCTAAGAAATTTACAAAGTATTTGAAGTCGCATAACGTTCTGTAGTAGCTTTTATCTTTAAGAGAAAATACGGTTTCATGCAAAATATTAGATAAAGCCAGACCATTTTGGTATACAGATAGGAACTTCAAAAAATGTACCTGAACGAATCCCTTATTCAACAAATAACTGTATTTCTACTTCCTTGTTACTAAGTGTATATTAACGTAAGTAAAATCGGTTGTTTTTTTATGGATTGTTACAAAGATTCGACTTTTGAATCCTGTTTCTCGAACTCATTACAAAGTGTGGTTCACGGCTTGCCACTAGCCATAGATAGGGTATATAGCAATAATTATTACCTATTGAATGAAACCGCAACTAATGGTGTTTTCGACTCGAGTTGAATCTACGTTGTCAGCACTGTTGCGACTTTCAAGAGAAATGCAAGCATTTATACATTCCATTCCTGTGCTTCGGAATTTAAAATTTCATTGATATTTGATACTTACATGTATAGTTTATGATAGTACATATAGTGTAGTAATTTTATTAAATTCACTATTTATCCGAAGATACTAAACCTGGAGTATTGCTTGTGATATATTTCCCATTAGGAACATGATTACCCTAAGTACACTCGACAAAAACATCTTTTGGATTGAAAAACGTGTTATTATTTCAAAGAAAACAAGTGTTTAAAATACGGACGTCTGGTTGTATTAATTCCTTCTCTCTCATACACTTACCACGTTACTTGAACTGGTAGAAAATCTACATAATTATTATACAAGATTAAATAATTAATATAGTATCTACTAACTTTATTGGTATCTGTATACATAATAATAATTTATAGTATGAACAGTCAGATGTTAAACAGTCTAGATACATTTTTATAAGAATACTTTTTACAAAGTTTAATGTATATGTTGACGCTACAATAATGTTTTAAATATATTTACCTAATGCTAAATAAATCCAAATATTTTCTTAACGCAGAAGAATAAAAACAGTATCTAAAATGAAGTTTACGCACTTAGGTAGGTGTCTTGACCCGTTGACCTCCGAGACAGATAAAAACATCTCTAGATTCAGAAAAAACGAGTATTGTCGGAGGCATCTCGCGGACGTGTCCAATAAGACCGGACGCACGCTCGACACCGGAAAACCCCCTTTCATCTCAAAATGACCGCAGCGAATCTGTTTAAGCCCGAGGAATGTTTCTACGCGGCTGACCGCTGGATATTTTGTCGAGAGAGATATCGGACGGCGAATTTTTAGCGGATGAGACTTTTTGTCGCACAAAAAGTGTTCACCGTATTATAGGATACGGTCACTTTTAGGGATTCAGAGTTCACAGATTTAGGCGAATATGACGTAATATTGTGAATGTAGTAGTGTGCGCCAGAAGTTATTAGATACTTATTAATTTAATACTCTCGCCTGCAGTTTACGGGAATAGAAAACACATTAACGGTTTACAACGCTATGTATATTCGTAAAACTTATTTGGAAATTATTTTAACTTATATACATCGCGTTTTACACCGTTAATGTCTTTTTTAAACTTACCGATTAGGCAAAACGTTCAAATCTGACATGACAATAACAATGGACTGATATGACAAAGAATGGACAACGAAGTAAATAAAGTTGATCCGAATGTCTCAGTCGAAAGATCTACAGCGCTAAATTAAGATAATTACCTAAAGATGCATTTTTTCATTATTTGCTGTCCTATTTTGTCTTGAATATCTCATTTTTAAAGCGGAAGTTTTATTTAGAATTCACGGTACAGCAATATTTTACAATGATTTAACTTCATCTGCAAATTATTTTTATACCTAATGTTCCTCTTAGTAAAAATGACAATATTTTTCAGGTAAACTATACGCAGCGCTCGGCAAGAGAAGTGGTCGAGTAGTGGCCAGTGACCTGCAGAGCGGGTCCTCGTCGTTCCGGGTTCGGGCTTTGATGCCCGTCGCGGAGAGCTTCAAGTTTGCCCTCGAGCTGAGAACACACACGTCGGGGCTTGCTGCGCCGCAAATGATGTTCAGCCATTGGGAGGTGAGTAGCTTCATAATGACCTTATACTTAATAGTTCACTGTGAAGACTTTTATACTACAGTATATAGATGCAGAAAATTTTAATAGATTAATGAGTTCTAAATGTCTTTTATACTCGTAGTATTTTGTATCTAGTACTGTGACCTATTAGATGTTTATCTATTAGACTGTCTATCTGTGAAAATGAGATAAGTTGAGAGGATATATATTACGGCTGTCGCTATAAAATAAAATAGTAATCAGTAGTAAATATTTAAACGTTACACCATTTGGCACAATACATAGTTACATATGCTTTAAAAATGTCTTTCACTGAGTATTCCTAAAATAAAGACATGGATACACTCCTATTCGGTGGTAGATTAAAAAAAAAGATATATTTAAATGAAACACTTTATGACCACGGCTGCTGCAAAGGGCCGAAGTTAAAAATAATTTTCAAATAAGTTTAACTAATATATCCCCTTTTAAACCGGTAAAGTGTTTTATTTAAATGTGTACTACTCGCGTAAACTATAGACAGTATTTACACTAGGTATTTATTATATTACAGGTAATTGACATAGATCCCTTTTGGCGACCACGAACTGAAGAAGAATACCTTCACTGGGGCGAGAAATGGGACGGAGTGAACAGGGCGAAGACTTATATGGATGCCGTGAGGACCAGGAAGGGTCTGGCGACCGACAAACATCTCGTTCAGCACGCCGAGAAGCAACGAACGTTATCCAAGAAGAAATAGAAGCGAATTAAACTCCCTTGTGTTTATAGTAGGAATAAGAAAGGAACAGCTGTATTAATATATTTTGTAGGACTCACTATTATTTCTACTATACGTCTAATAATTGTTCAGTAGTCTTTTAAAGGCTGCAAAAAAATAAATAACCATTATAAGCGTGATTTGATATAAAATGTTTTAGCATCTTGAAACCTCCAGTTTTAATTTAATCTTATTTCTACCGCCATCACAGATGACAGTAGAAATTTTATATACAACCCATTTTATAAAATATAGAATTAAAAACGGTTTGTTTTTTTTAATCTTCACCAGCAAGGAATGATTGGTTAATATTCGTATACTACGGTAAACCGTAAGAAAAGTAGCGTACTGTTAATGCATTTTGCTCATTTCTCTGATAATAAACAATATTTGCATGAATTGCTTTAATTATAGCTAAAGACGCAGTGGCCTAATAACAAGTAACCTGATTTTCAATAAGGAGCAAACAAAATGCAGAATTAACTTAGATGAACATGAACTTGTACTACTATTTGTGTAAGAATTGTTAATAATTTTAGTCACTGTGCTCTTGTACATTAACATTTTAAGACTATACAAATATAAATAACAAATCATAAAATTGCAGTTAGGCTACTCTGTCTCTAGTGGCCTCAATTGTACTTTCTTATTTCTCATTAGCAATATAAATTCGAGGAATATTATTCAACGGTGAAAAACTACACGTCTAGATGTGTCCTGTACGGTTCCACTCCGTACCTACTTCTCAGCCTTTCTACCATCATTTAATAACTTTAACTTTATTTAGCTTAGCTTAGCTTAAAACCTATTTACAAATTGAGTATTTCGATGGCGCCTGAAGTAGCTGTAAAGCTGTGGCACAGGAGCCAGCGCCCACCTCCGTATGATAAGATAAGTTAAACTAATTACTATTAAATACTGTCTATAGTTTACGCGAGTAATACACATTTAAATAAAACACTTTAACGGTTTAAAACGCGATATATTAGTTAAACTTATTTGAAAATGATTTTTAACTTCGGCCCGACGTTTCGGATGCTTTGCAGCAGCCGTGGTCACGGGGAGACTCCGTGTCTCAAATCATTTTCAAATAAGTTTAACGAATATATCGCGTTTTAAACCGTTTAAGTGTTTTATCTAATTACTATTGACATTCTTATAAATTACTATTTGGTACAATTAAAGGAAGTTAGTGTAAAACAATCTGTTTGCTTAAAAGGATATTATTTTTGAGCGAGTGTTGTGTGTGTGTGTGTGTGAGAGAGAAAGAGTATTTAATAGAAATACTTATTGGTAGACCCTCAAGAGACTTTCGGTTTGTTCATAAGTATAAATATAAGTATATAAGGGTTGTAAGACAAAACTAGATGTGCCTGAGGGCCCCACGACCCACCATCGAACCGTCCAACCCGCCGAACGGTCAGAAAGCAGAGGTTGGTAGCATGGTATTAAGTTGGGAATAAAAACATGATACAGATTTATAGAAATAAATAAGAGCCTGAACAACCAGAGCATGTGAGATTTTCAGATATAAATATTCTCCTCGTATCTCCTTTAATATTTATATGCTCCGTACTCAGTTTAGAAGACCCCTTATTAAAGCTACGAAAAGATTTAATATTTTTTTCTTTCAAGAGGCAACTAGTTAGATCCACAATGACTGTTGTCGATTGGAGATCCTTAGACTTTACCCGGAAAATATCTTTGACCTCATGCCGCTCCACATGTACCTTCAGAACTTGGGCGGTTTTAACAAACGTGTCCAGTAATGAAACCTTGTTTTCCGTGGGCTGTTTAGGAATATTTCTAATCTCCAAACAGCTCGCTCTCGCACTACGTTCAGAACTCTCCAATTTGGACTCTAAAGATTTGGATATAATTGGCATCGGCCAGAACGTCAGATTCTAATGTGTTGATCCTATTTAACATTACTTCGTATTTTTCGGCCAGGAATTCGAACGAAGCACGCATATCTTCAACCGTTGAACAGACCTTCCAGCAGTTATTATGTTCTTCTTATATCCTTCAATTCCGCCATAAACAGAGACAATTTGTCATCGTCACACTCCGCATGTTTGCGCTTACGCGCAGATGTCGAAGTCTTTCTGGCCAAAGTAGGCTCCGACGTGCAGTGATGCAAATTTTGCCGCAAAAACGGGAAAGTTAAGATAAACTAGAACTTAAATCACTCACTAACTACTATAATTGTGGTGGGCATGACGAGAATGGTTTTTTCGTCGACAAGTACCAGGGGAGCAGAACCGAAGCGAAGGTAATTAATGCAACAATAGATAGGTCACACTAAACTGGACGCGATCGACGTTTTGGTACTAACTTTACGTATAACCAACTTAAATTGACCTCTCGCAATCTCGCCGTAGCTTCTGTGATCCTGGTACACGCACTTTCAAAAACCTGAATTTATTTAATAAAATTGACGAAATTAAATAAATAATTTTAACACAACACACGACTGCACACTTGAGAGGTCCGGAGGGAAGAGGAATCAATCATTAGTTGTTGGGACGGTTTTATTTACGTCCTGACGTTGTTAAATTCAGACTTGGACCGAAGCGTCATCACCATCTTCATAAACATTTTCACGATTGCGTATATAATATTGTTGTTTCAGGTCAGGTACAATAAAAAACGAATTTCAATAAAATCATTATCTATTATTTACACCAATCAGATAACAAACCATTCGAATCGTATATACAAATGACCAATTTACAATAAACCCATAACAATTTGTAAAAACGCCGACCGAAGTCGGACAACCTTAATACATTGCAGATAGCGAATATACGGTATATTCCTTTACACAAGAACTTTTATAAACCCCATTAAAACTCCTAATTACTATTTTTATAAATTAAATTACGTAGGTTATACTGGAATTATGTAGAGTCGAGAAACGGCTTTAACAAAAACTTCTAACAGTTTAAAATTAAATGAACCGTATAAAAATAACATTGTTCCTATTTTTATTCTTACTTGCTCAGAATGTTTAACCCTAGTGTGATACTTAGTCTAGGTGTCTTTGGCAATAATTTTAGTGTTCTTAGGAAATAGTTTACACAGCCTAGCTAAATATAATCCCACTTTGGCCATTGATCTCGTTTTGGGTTTAAAAAATAGAGACTTTAATAAGAAAAAGGCCAATCCCATTAACAAAATGTATGTCACACGTCATTATTCAATGTGACATAATAGGTAAGGTTTCTAGACCAGTTTTGTGAAAGTTAGACCTGAACTCTGAAATGTTTATCTCTGACTTTGGCACTAATGGTAAAAATGTGTACCAGTCCGAATTTGAGTAGCATCTGTAATCTTTCTTATACTGGTTTTTATTAGATAAACAACAGAATTTGACATATAAAACACATGTAGTTTACACGCGATTTTGCGTCACAAAAAGCATAACAAATTAGCTTTTTAATTTTATGCTAGATTAAAAATCAACAAAAAATATATTTCCATCAGAGCCAAATAACAACAAAAATATACAATGTCTAAATACTCTTAAGTTTACAAGTATGCGAAGTAATAAATTATACATAACCTACAGTTTATTGGTATTTGCAAAGCTAAAGATTTTCAAGGTACAAAAATAGAATAATGTTTAATATGCTTTTCACTGTTAGAGGATAGTTAAGAATATAAAATTCGAAATAAGATTTAAGACGGTGTTTAGTGTTAAAAATCCTCTTTATCAGTAAACCTATTTTTCTAAGTAGCAAGGATAACAAACAGTAAAAATTTTAACTCTGTTTCTCTTATCTCGTTCGGAAACAAAAAAAATGGAGCTACATTAATATAAGTACGTTAAATAAAATCATATCGACTTGAGCTTTACTAAAGACTAGAATAATACATTACATCAAACTACAGTCCATTCACCAAAACGAGTTAGTAAGAAAATGGGAGGTATGTGATTCGCAGTCGGGACCCCAGACCATCATATCAGTTTAGTTCACACCCACTATCAATGTTGTGCTATGGATCTTTGTAGGGGATATCCACAAAGAACCAGCGCACTAGTCACTCACTTTGGTGAAAAGAATATGACACGATACATTATAACGGTACCTACTCATGGATTGAAATTAAGAAAATCAACCTAAAAAAATAAAAGTTTTAATCAAAGAACTAACTGGCAAGAACTATGTAGTATTATGGTTTTCATTACGATCTAATGACGATACGTATATATTCAAGAAAATATATTTTGTACTAATTGTACAATTATAATGAGCTCAGCTCAGAAAATACACTAAATTAAAATCAGAGGGCTCTGTTTTTATTTTCTTTCAATAATCCCTTGAAGACATGTTATAAATCTTATGATTTTGACTATGAAATGTTATATAAATATACATCTTTAAGTTATTATCAGGGACCGACGTAATTAAACCCTTCAAAGGAATGAATACTTCAAATAATTTAAAATAGGAATGTTAGTGTGATCTTAACAACAACTAGCACCGATTTTGAAATTATCACACGACTTAGTTACTCCCAATACAAACTAAAACCTCTAGACGTCTCAAGATATCATAATCTGAAAATATATTACGCGATGGTTGCAAAGAGGTTGATACATCATACACGAGACAAAACGTAACAAAGCCATTCAAATTCAGTTGTGTACGACATAGCTTTTAGGTTTTTAACGAATTCACCTCAATTTTAAGATCTGACATCGATTACAACCACGTAATAAGAAAAATATAACTCGTAGTAGTTTAATTTTGAATACTGTTTTGATATAAGTTGAAGAATTATATTCTCATCGAGTTATGTACAATGCGTATTTACAATGTAGGTTTTAGCCGTTCAAAAGTTGCCAGCACTATCTAACACCGAATGACATTTAGGTTATCTTGCGTTTATCTTAAAAATATATTCCAATCTGCGGTACTTATTTCTATCGAGGCTGAAATATTGAGCTTATATTAAATTCCATATTTACTGTAAGCTATGAATTTTCATAGTAAATAAATAATACATTCAACATAACCTTAATATTTACCCAATCGGTAGACCTAACTAGTGTCTGACACTGACCTACGGTTGCCTTAGAGGCGATATCAACTGGTATATACAGAGTAAAAATAAAACCTGATCTTTGGGTACGCTTAAAATAAATGTTATCAAATAATTCTAATATATCTTATAACACAATCACAAAGTCAACTGCGATACTGCCAATACCCCGGTAGAACTAAAACTATTGAGTTTATGGTAATTATTACTCTAAATGCAATGAAATGAAGTCTAAACTAAATACGAGATAAAAGTAGCTAAAATCATAGAAACTTTCTTTTCTTATATTCCATCTTAGTTAATTATACCTTTCCTACATACAAGTCGACTTTCACTCGAATAACAATACAACTAGATGTCCAAACACAACAAGATATAGGCTTTATAAGAACCAATATGGCTTTATTTAGTTGCTTTCGTGATAAAAAAATTAAACCTAGAACTATATGTATTTGCATAAAGCAAGAATTGAATAAGAAACATATTTACTACAACTAGTTAATAGGAAAAAGTGATTGGCAAAAATTTCGCCATTTTCGTTTTCTAAGCATTTAGACTCCTTATACTGTCTCAAGAGAACCGTGAGAAAGAGACAACACTGTAAACTCGTATCAGTGAATAGACTATAAAGGATGCTGTGTCCTTTTTTTTGCGTTTGATCTAGTTGTATCGTCGACGTAACTACCAAATTAAGTCGTAATAGCGAGACATCCACTGATCAAGATGTCAACTAGTGCTAGAGGTATCAGCAGCTACAACGAATAACTAGTGGCAACAAATATCACTTTATATGACGTCAGTCACTGGGAAAAAGGGACGCTAACTGAAGAGCGTGTCGTTTGGCACGTCGGCGTATCTGTGGCCGGCCTGCTCCGCCATATCCGTCAGTATAACGCCCGAGAGCGCTTCTAACGACTGTCGAACCTGAAATAATTTTGAATTATAATGAAAAACCATTTTTATTGAAATTTTTTACTAACGTTTAATACAGTCTTCAGTATGTATAAACTTAATTTAACAACCTTTAAAAATATTTAAGATTATTCTAGATGAAAGACATAGATTTTTTAAAGTTAAAACCATCAACGGTAAATCGAATTATTTTTAATCGAAAATATAGTAAAATAACTATTCTATTCTCTTTTCATTTAGTGTATGGCGGCAAGTCAAACCACACTTAATTTTAGTATTTATACCAGGACGTATGTTTGCTACAATTACCTTAGATAGCAGCAATAAGTTGGTAGACAGGAATGCGTGCAGCTCGTTAGCCGCTCGGCCGTGCAGCCGTGTGCGCCAGCGCATCAGCTCCGAATACAACTCCTCGCCAGACATCTCAGCCATACCGTCCTGGAATAGAATACATCAGTGATGTGACACTTGTCTAAATATTTATTAGCAGTATTTGAAGTATCTATAAGTAAACAAAATACTTTTATTTTTATTCTGTATATTACCTTAAATAACAAGGATGAGATTAGAATGTGTCTTAAGATGTGCAAGCCTTCTCCTCATTGTGGCTTTTCTTCTGTATGTTGTTAATGGTCTAGTAATAGTGACTTTTTTATTCGTTACTGTCAAACACTCAAAGCCGCGTATCTCGCTGAAACGGCGCTGTTTTATACCACAATGCGCGAGTCTACTTTATATTATAAACACGTATGTACCTTTTTTGTATTTACCTTTTATCTGAAGCTGTATTTTTGTGTAAATTGTTATACTGATAAACAATTTTATTGGTGGGGTTGAAAGCCTTAAGGGAGTTGACTATGATCTTAAATATTATACTTACGTGCGGTCGGTACGCGACGCAGTAGAGCCTGTACGCGAGGAAAAGCGCTGAGCAAGTGAGCAGAACAGCGACAGTCAGCATCGCGACCTGCCAATAAGACATTTCGCGCTTGGCAACGCCGCTGCTCGCACCTGTTAGAAGCGCCGGCTGGATAACCGCTGCGGTCGCTGTGAAAAGTAAAGTAAATTTTATAATTTCACATTACAATGCTACAAAATACACAGTCCTACAGTTGTCTTCTCAAGAATGTAAGACATTGATTACTTTATTGAAATTTTGAAATTTGGATTAGTAAGTATGTAATTCATACATTTTAATGTTTAGCAATATCCTTATGGATTTACTATAATATGGAATTACTATTATTAATTGATAATTGCATAAAATTTTGCAAAATGGCGTTTTTTGCCAGTTCGTTCGTTTTACGTCCTTGATTTGAGACCTGGCAGTACATGGAAATTTAGAGTCCTTAGTTTCATAAATAGATGATTTTTGACTTAGACTAAACACGAGACGTACTGAGTTTGAATCTCAAAAGAAATCTTAAAAGAACAGATGAAAGAAAGGGACACTGAAGGGCAAACTTTGATGAAACGGAATTTTTTTCTTACAATACATATAATTACTATAATGTACAAGCTTTAAAGCAGCTCCGACGACATAATGTATCTTTTTAGCCGTTGAAAATGCTTAATTTAATTATAATTAGTAATCATGACTGTTATAAACATGTACTAAAATTTTATCGTCATAATAGTAATTATCCATAAGTTTCATAATGTTAGTAAGCCGTTTAAGAACATACCAGCAGCCATTATGACTTCTGGTTCCGGCCTCACGGGCTGCGTTGAATCAATGTGATCAGCACCACCAGAGCTGCTATCATCTTCGGGCGAGTACTCAGATATTTCCGGCGTTCTCAGATCCTGAAACCACCACATGGACTGGTATAGATAAAGTAATTTAGGATCAAACCAAACTACCATCAAACCTACCAAAGATGATTTAAATTAAAAAAAATAACAGTTTAAAACACGAAATAATAGTATAATAGTAATAATGTTGACCTACGTCCCAACGTTTCGTATGTTTTGCAGCAGCGTAATAATTCGCGTATTAATCCGTTAAAAGTTTATTTAAATGTGTATAACTTGCGTAAACTTAATACAGTACTTAACGAACGTGTTATGGAAAAAATATTGAGTTTATCTTAAGAAACTACTGTCACGTGATATTCTGTAAAATTGTTTAACGGTAACGCATAATTAAAGTTATATTACGCGTAGTCAAACCGTTAAAACTGTTTCTTTAATCTTACAGAACAAGATCATATCTAGGTATTAAAGTTTGATGACGACTAAAAGCAATTCAAGGGTCGATATTCATCTGATTATATGCCCTATAGGCATTGAAACAAAACAAGGTTTGTTTTTAAGCGTAAGTTATTAATGTTATGTATAACACTGACCTATTGGCTTGCACTATGTATTTAATCATTAACTAGACATTATATGCAGTAGTTTGATTCTAATTAAAAAAAAAATGTCTGTTTCAACCCATTGCCCACAGATGGGAAAATGTAACCTCTTAGTGAGATAGTGGGCTTAAACGTACTCTATGTACTGCTTAGCGAGTTTTTCCGACTCCTGCCTCTAAATTCATATCATGGGGATCCACAGCGTAACTCTTTCCGAAGGACAATTCCTACTTGGGGCTGAACTGGATAATTTCTTAGAAAAATCCCATTAAAGGAACTAAAGTTTTACGCGAATTCGAATCCTATTCGCGATGTCCACTGAAATATAAACTTTTTACTTAATTCGATAGTAATAAAAAAATCTACAATGTGTAACTACAAAACTACTGACCCCATACAAGAGTTTACGGCTGTATAAACGGATTTATCGACTCTTTAAACACATGTCCAGACTTATAGCACTATTACAGGATAACCACTAGCTAATCTAATTGCGGACATTAGCAGCGTAAGTAACAATAAAATCGCGAAACGTGACGGTCAACTGCGTCAGATGTGGCTGCTGTAGAACGATTTGCTATGGTTTCGTCACGATAATGCAATTGTCTGCGAGAATTTAGAACACACAAACGCGATACATGTGTATTAATATTTAATAATAGCTGTGCTGTCGCGTTATGTCCGTTTTTCTTAGTATCTTTGTAAAAAGATCGTTGCTGATATAATGGTATAATGTTAAAACATTCAGGAAGAAATTAATAATACTGACAAAGTTACATAGCAAGTATATTTTTATAATATGTATCTTGGCTTATGTAATAGATTAATAGTGGAGAAGGCACTTTCTTTTCTTTCATTTACAAAGAAAATTGGTTATTAAACAGTTTGTGTTTTGATATTGAAAAGTTTTATATTTTGCTAATATTATACGAGGTTATCACTATATTGTTGGTAAACGTCTGTGTGATAGTAGTAAACTCTCAATAAAGTAATATTTAAGAATAACAAATACCAATATTTGTATATTATAGCTAGACTAGCAAAAGGTCATTGAACAGGAAAAAATAAACAAATAATTCCTACACCAGCAAAAAGTGTTTCAGCAAAAAATTCTACATATTATCATATTAACCTCCGACGTCCCAAAAATCTATACAATAACATTTCACGAGGAAACGTACTTTACGGAGTTTGTAAATAAAAACAATTTTTGATAAGAATGTGTTTTTCAGTACCACAAATTTGTTATTATCAGTTATTTTAGTGTAATATTATATATTTGTATATTATTAAGTAGTTTTCATAATGTTTATGGTGTTATGATGTTATTTTACACAGTACAAGATTCTATGCAAAACCTACGTTTTTTTTCATTTGAGTAGTCTCAAGTAACACAAATCCTATCAGGGTTTGATCAAAAATTGAATGAAGTTTCCAAATCGTAGTTAGAAATAGATCGACGTACATAAATAATTTAATTGCTTTAGGTTTGATTTAAAATAAAGAACTATAATTTGAAGTGCAAGGTTATCTGTCACATTGAATACTACCTCTGATTTCGGTACCGCAAGTTCCGGAGCCTTGGAAGACTTCCAGACGAGGGTCATAAGCTTGTAGGTTGCATCCCTGGACAGCAGGGAGCCAAACACGTGTCTTTCATCCCTCGTGCACACCCCAACAGCATTGGGTATTATCCGGGCCACCTTCTCCTTCGTTATTCGAAGAACGGATGACGTGGGTATAAGCAGCTGGAAAAGATAAGTACTATTACTAACAAAATGATAGAATTTGAAGACTTTAGAATATTTGTGTCTATTTCTTATGTAAGTCTAGATTATATTAGCTTTAAATACTGTCCGTAGTTTCGAGTAGCACATTTAAATAAAAAACCATAACGGTTTAAAACGCGATGTCTCCCCGTGACCACGGGAGCTGCAAAGTGTAAAACGTCGGACCGTAATTTCCAATTATGTTTAACCTACCATTGTATATGAAGAAGTAGAAAAGTCGAATGTAAAATGACTTAAAGCATCAACTCATTAATTTCCAGATCAAAAAGAATGTTAAAGTAAAATTCAGTGTATTTTCTTCTAAGCTAAAAATATGCTTCATCAATATTCCATAGCGATAATTAATTTTGAACGATAAATTCAATAATTCCAAACAAACGAATACCTCGTGAAAAACAAAATGTGACCGTGTATAGTAAAGTAAAATAGATGAAACTTACTTTTGTCACATATCCAAAAACGTTGGAATAAAAAGCGAAGTAATTCTTCGTTATATACAAATGGCCCTGTAGTAGAATATCGCCAACCAGGGCGCATGCATAGTCTGAAATGTGATCAAAGTACCGATTATTTCCAATAATTATTTTATATAATTATGTTATAACACGTTTACCAAGGTCCGTATTAAGCTATTTACACATTAAAAAGATCGTTACCACATATGTATAACAGGTCAAGGTAAATATAAGAACATAAGTAAATAATCTATATTATTACATATAGCTGAAGAGTTTGTCTGTCTGGACACGCTAAACTCAGGAACTACTAGGGTATAAATCATCGATTTATAGGAGCGAAGAAACGCCTTCGCTCCTATAACTACTACTATAAAAACCACGCCTTCGGTAACAGGTATAGTTTATTAAGATGTGGAGGAAGATTGCAAAAATACATTTATTATGCCCAAAATATCTACGCGAACGAAGTCGCTGACACAGTTAGTAATAAATTTGATAACCAACTTTCCGCAACTACGAATTCGACAAAACGTTCCAATTTACGAAGTTAAACATCCTTATGTTTTTCACCATTCAACCTATACCTGTGTTCATGTCGAAAACCAACTAAAATTATTAATAAAGAGCTCAGAACTGTAAACGAGTGCTAATTAGTCTAACTGCTAAAGGCTTTAATGATATAAAGGCTACAAAATAGTTATTTATAGCAAATTGTATGTCTTTCTCATTAGCGAACTTTGATTCATTGATATATATCGTCGTGGCTCCGTGGTATAATGGTAGCAAGGTACGGCTAATAATCAACGGGTCGTGGATTCTATAACCATCGGGTCCTAGATTTTTCTGACACATGTTGGCTTTGGTCCGGAAACCTGGATATTAAATGAGCGCTGTTAAAGGCGGGTCCCCCTCGTGGGGCATGAGGCGAACACATTTCTGTGTCCGTTTCACTGATCCGTTCTATAGGCTGGGTTATTTCACTTGCCATCAAGTGAACTCCGTGCTTGTTTGTCCTCCTCAATGATTAAACAAATAGGTACCAACAAGAAACAAAATATATTATGTTCTTTAATAACATCGTACTCGCAAGTGCCAGAAAATAACTAATCCGACTCGTAAGTGACAAGTACTTCACGTGCGCACGACATTAAAATCACGCGACTTTACGCCATAAAATGCAACCAAGTGTAACGCCCTTTGGAGAATCGGACCCCATTTTATCGAATGTTATCAGTGAAATAGTAAAGGTTATCATATCTTTGCAACATTTCAATTTAATTATACTTATTTCGTATTAAATAAACATTTTTTTAAGAGCGCCTACTTTGTATTCGGGGGGTCAGAAGGGTATAACAAAAAAATGATAGAAATAAAATTGTTTTTTAAGCGAATGTTGTATCGTTTTGTTGAAGAAATAGAATATACATCGTTTCATGTCACTTACAATTGAGCACTCGTTCCTCTGGGCCCACTTGTGGGAAATGCCTCTGGAACTTCTTCTGCCTGGACTTGCTGGGCTGCTTGCCCTCCGTCGTGTCATCTGAGCCTGCTGTTGCACCAACTCGGACCGACGGCGCAGAGCCCGATAAAGGCTTCACTACGTGTCTGTTGACAATAAACATAAATCAGTGAACTAGTTATACCTTTCTCTACCCTAGAAGCTATTTTATTACATACGATTTTACACCGAAAAGGATGTAATAGAAATGCGTCCAGACAAATATACAATACACACCCAGGGGTCGAGTCCCCGATTTTATAATCTAAGTTACATTTTTATTTATCTTATTGAATATTTTCGTGATTTTTGTCCCTCATTCTCAAAAACAGAATTTAATGACCGATTTATCTTTTCCTATCAACCTCCTCTTTATATTATTTTTTACTCTTAAGACATTTTCCAGATTATGAAACAAGTATTTGAGGAAACACGCCAAGTTTTAAGAAAATGTAGGTATTATTTTTGGATTTATATTTATTTATGGCGTCGCACGAGCCTTTTATTTCTTAATAATGATCAAAGAAAATCATCGGAATTTTTACATCCCCACTATACACATCAGAAACCCCAAATGTCAGAGAAACCTATTAGTTTCGCTCTAACACAGCACAGTGACTGATCAACTCGCCTATGAATAAAATTTACCAGAAAACTTATACAGTATACCTGGCCTGTCTTACACAAAAAGCAAAATGTGGCTACGCCAACCGTTAGTATATATTAAGTGAACACTAAGAATTAAAGAATAACTGAGATGGATTTATCGCTTGCAATAAAAATATTCTATTCTAGTACATCGACAATGTTAAGCACAGACAACATGTACACTTGTTTAAACAAAGAGACATTGCAGTCGCAAGAATATCAATAAAAAGCAAATAGTTAACGTAATGGGGCTTGATAGCACCATATAACATGGTGACTTATCACCCACTTAACGATAACTCACGAAACAGAGCCATGGATTTAATTCCCGTTGATATCTGTTATGTACCTACATCTAGATTGCACGACACTTATGTACAATTTACACTGAAACAATATAGAATAGTATTGGATCCAGACAGTCCTATCAATATTTGTCTTTTCAATACTCAAGATATTACGGAATTACTTGATAAAATCTTGCTTAAAAATATATAATACAAATTGTCACTTCATTTTACATTCTATATAAAGAATAGGAGGAAATAAGGTATCTACAATCAAACTAAAAAGATAGATTTCAACTACGGTTCGTATTTTCCTGTTCAAATCAACAAGTGCCATTAGTCCAATGCCAAAGGCCAGTCTAAATTGCTTTATTTAAGAACTAATTGAAACTACCTAAAGAAGATGAAAAATATGAATGAACCAATTTTTAATTTTTACTACATTATGATAATTGGATTATAGGAAAATCGCTATCAATCAAAACAAATCATTAGCAAGAAGGAAATCGGTTAATTAAGCCTCAATATAAATTACAGGAAACCACAGCAGTAAAACAAGAAGTATAGATACGTCACTTAGACAAAATCGAAAACAATTCGCCTTACTTGAAAAAGCTCTTTACGTACTTCGAAAAGGTAAGCACGCCCATTGTCATCATAAAACAGAACTGATCACCTTTGAATACGAGACCAACTGATGGAAATCCTCACGTATCCAAGTTTATATTTGTAAGAAATTTGAATTCCAGTACAAAACAACATTTTCAAGAGCATTTCTTATTCTCTGGAACTGAGGTTAGCGAGCGATCTTAATACATAAATCATGTGTGACGTCCGCGCTTATCATTCGTATCATTGAATTTTAATATGACACGGTTTCAGGAACTGTTATTTTAAGTATGGGCCGGGACAAATAAGATTTGGTCGTGCTTAAATAAGCAATGACCTAATAACACTGCTTTGCTATTCCAGAAAAAAAATGTGAATACTAAGGAAATGTCGGATGAGAATTATTTTTGGTAACTGTTTTATTGAATTGAGGTGGACAAACACCACTGTAGGAATAATGTTATTCTACTTATTATATTTCTTTAATATGTGGAAACCTACAGAAGATTGAATTAAAACATTTTTATGACATCCTCCACGTGGACTCCTTCCTATTGGAAGGTGAAAATAAATGCGCTGTCGACCCTTATTATGCTTATTTGAAATCCACAGATTGAATCCGAAACTTTATTGAACTTAACGGCTTTTTCATCTATGTTCGGTGATTCATGGCCCCGTGAATTTTCGATATCCAGGTATCCAGACGAAGTCCAACACGTGTCCACCTGGTCGGGGCCAAACCCACGACCTGTTGCCTATTTCATATATTGTTACTATTAAAATCCCGGGAACGCATAATAGAAATGGTTTCGATAGTAAAGAAAACAGAACTCTGATCCCTTTCTTTGCTCTAATTAATAAAATAAACCAGTGAAATACCACAGACATACGTTTGCCCCATACCCCAAAGGGGGGAAAACGGAATTTCACGCATGAAATGGGTACCTCATAAGTATTCATAATTTTTCTCTGATACACACGAGAAACAGGTAGTAGGTAATCTAAATGGAGACTGATAAATTGCACGCTGTGTCCTATATTTTGTGTTTGGAGATGGTGGTCTGTTTATAGTTTACTCATCACATCCGTGTTTTATTTCCCGGACGCTCTTTTAGCCGCAAAATACGCATTTCAAAATGTAAGCACACAAACTATAAGCATTTTTTTTTATGATACAACAATGGAGGACAGTCAAGCATGAGGTTTACGCGATGGAAATGACTGAAATTTTTATCTGCGGACGTTGGTCTGTAACCCAAACGGAATCTCACTATGCCTACCACCCATTTAATATCCAGATTACCAGAAGAAGTCCAACACGTTTCAGAAAAATTATAATTTGATATGAAACATTGATTAATAAATTGCATTAACCAATAGAATAATGTTTACTAAACACTACAGTAGCAAAACTAGTTCAGACAGACAATAGGACATATGTATGTAGTGTACACGAGTAGTACTCACTAAATAAAATTGCTGTAATAATTAAGGCTCAAAATCCATCATAACTATGACTAGTTAAAAAAAAAGTTAACGTTATATGTTAAGTGGAAAATAAACGCATACACTTGCACATGAATAAAAAATTCTGTTATTATTGTGTTATTATTGTTTGCACAAAGTTAAGATATAAACTTTTCAAACGTACTTTTTTCAGTCTACCTGAAGGTAGACTGAGAAAAAGTACGCACAGTCTCGAAAAAAAAGCACAGTCTCGAAAAAATCTCACCTATCGTCTTTGCCAAGACTCCCGTCAACACTGGAATCGTCGGAAAACTCGAAACTCGCGTTATCCACCATCCTTACTCACATTGCAGCACACAAGTGCACCGTTATCTCTTACATATTTTAATCGTAATTAAAACACGAATGATAAAGCAATCTCGAGATAGTCTCATCTATATTACATCCACATTCTTTCTCTTCCAATTCGTGTTTCACATAGCACATCGTTCATAGTAAACACTGATAATTATTTTACTTCTTATAAAACCAGCCGACACGACCGCTCTTTTCGCCGCAACGATAGTAAACGCACTCTTTCTAAATATTTGTATTAGAAACCGGTTTATTAAAATCAAAAGACAAACACACTCGTTCGCTTCGCACACGGGAGCACAACTGTACAGTCATACTATGGTAGTATCGACTGTATATCGAACCGACAATTTATCGCCACTCGCGATAAGATACTCTCTTAGGCGAGACCGCGACGATCGCGACGGGAAGGTTGTGAATCACAAATTTCACTTGTATTTGCAGGCAGTTCGACGAACTTATACGAAATCCAAGTTGAACTTCAACTTCAATTGATCTAAAACAATAAACGCGGCGCAAGAGTGAGACGCAAGATGCGGGAAGACACCTGAGTACACCATTCACCATGCTAGCTCGCCGGTAGGGTTACCAAGTTCGGTTCTAAATTGCAAAGTAGATTGAGGAAAAGTATATTATTAAATGAACCAATTCAAAACGAAACTTAATAAATAAAAAATGATCTGCTGTAGTTTAAGCGAGTAGTACACATTTAAATAAAACACTAACGGTTTAAAAGCCGATATATATATTAGTTAAACTTATTTGAACATTGTTTTAAGTTTTAACTACGGCCCGGTGTTTCGATTGCAGCAGCCGTGGTCACGTAACCCGTCCTCCACGTCGGGCCGTACTTAAAATAATTTTAACTAATATTTATCGCGTTTTAAACCGTTAAAGTGTTTTATTTAAACAAATTATCTTTTTAACACAAACAGCACTATATTCTATTACGCAAGTTTTTTTAATTCGACACATACCCTTATCATGCTTGTATTCAAATAAAAAATGTTTAAACCTCTCTCTGGCAACCCTACATAGGCCGCAACGGTACCGCGAGCCGCCCGATCGCAAAGCGTCAACGTACTGGCATATGCAATCAGCACATGCAGATATGTTTGTAACGAAGTAAAGAGCGATCGTTTATAAATATATAGTACCGTCAGAAAACACGCACGAAGAAGCCATTAAATCCTTGCATAATCTATAATAACCCATTGTTCTTAGCCTATTGTGGATTAACGCTAGGATTATTATGATTCAGTTATTAACGAGGTGGGAGTTTTTTCGTGTATTAAAATGAGACTAAAGTTCAATAAAAAAAGAACAATAAGAATTTAAATTAGTATTAAATTGACCAAATATTGAAAGCTTGGAATTAGTTTTACACGTAATTTTTAAACAGTAATCATTTTTAGAATGTAATGTCTAGATCATTTTTTTTAAATTAAGATATTCTTGAAAAATCATAGGTTTACTTTGAAAGGGATTTTGTACAACGATATAAGTTAAATTTGTTTTCAAATTAAAGATTGTATGCGCACCGTACGCTTAGTAGGTACATACAAATCGAGGGCAAACCGGGAACATCAACATTATCTACGTTGATTGGACAAATGGGCACAACATCGCTCACTACACGTGACAAGGTACGTAATATCATGACATCATTAAAATTTCATTCCAGGAATCAAATTCGACGTTGTGTTTTCAGGAAGTATTGTTAACGCATATTTTAATACAATTAAATAATTTCAATGCAATAAGCGTGTGTTGTGTTTGTGTGAGAGAGAAAGAGAGAGTGTGTGTGTGTGTGTGTGTGTGTGTGCAAGTGTTAGAAATCCCCTATGTGGGGTACGGGGGTTTGGGTACGATACATGTCTGTCACTGATCATTTACTAATCAATTTTATTTACAGCGCTGGTCTTAAAGCTTGTGGTGTTCCGGAATTCGATAGGACAACCTTTGAGGCTCATTGGTTATAATTTAAAATATGGAAAACGAAAATCTGTGTGAAACAATAAGTTAAGTAAATATTTAAGTATATCGAGTGATTCTCAGAAAGTGCTAGTATATCTTGAATAATTATTTATATTATAATAAACAACGAAATGTTACCCCGTTGGAGTTTCAAGGTTGCTTGAGAAACTTGGGATGTTGAACTTGCTTTTGCTTGTATGTAAATAAATGTATTTACAAAGCATATAAACAAATTGGATAACAAGAACTAATTTGAATAATAACAACAAGAGCGGCAAATCATAGATAATGGATATAACTTTAATGTCTAAGTACTTATAAGAGCACAGGTACACAGAAAAATAAATAAAAAATCTTGCAAGATCATTTTCGTCTAAGTAGCTACGTTATATTCCTCGTTATGCTTTATAATACCACTAAAGCAGCTGACATTGAAATAGCTCAAAATATTAGTAAACATTCAGATATGGCATTTTTGTGATACTAAAATTTTCTGGACATAACAAAAACGTGCAGCGAAAAAAATTGCAAGACATGCGAAAAAAGACCCAATTGCTGAATTCACATTAGAACATTCTTGTTACATTTCAAAACAAATTTTACGCTACTTATTATTTTTAGTTTGGTGGACTCATTCGGTTAAAAATAAAGAAAATATCCCTTACTGACGTGGGACAAATACAATTGTGTATTTCCGTCAAGATATTTGAAAATATATTTGAAATTTGGTAAAAAGAAATTTGGAATATGGAATACACCTATGTATTTCCACTGAAATAATTGTTTTTTCTGGCGTTAAAACAATGCAATTACAACTAGGCCATGAAAAAAATTGTGCACAACCAGGATCGAACACTGGCCTACAACACCAACATGCCACAAGTGTTTAATTATTAAGCCTACATATAACGGGATTTATCAAAGTAGCGCATCTGAATTACCAGTCACCACGGAAGCCAAAATAAATATAATTATCATTCATTGCTTTAAATCCAGTTGTGACGTCAAACACCAGAGATATCCAACGATTGCAAAATATAACCTTTAATATGATAAACATTGATTAGATCGAATAGTAATTATAAACATTATAATAGGCTGGCTTAAAACAGATTGATAGCAAATAATATCGATAAAAATTGCAAACTAATTTAAATATATAATGGTGACTAACGTTAATTAAAACTTCAGTTTCAGTCAAAATAAATTTGTCTTCATTAACTGTCGCTTTTGTCCTAATATAATATAAAATGTATAGAGTTATGTTTTTTAAATCCCGTTTCCCCCTCGTAGGGCCATAGGGCGAACTCATTTCTGTGTCCGAAGTAGTTATTTAGACTTCTGTAGCAAACAATTTTTTGTTTCCCTGGTATTCGAACCCAGGACCTCTCGAGCTTAACAACGTGCTAGGCTAATACGTTTCACCATTTGGCTACAGTGGCGGTCAGAGTTAAATTCTTAAAACAACTTAAATAATATATCTTTACAGTTAAGATGAAATTCTCCAAAAGTACGTCATTATCTTCAAAGAGAAACTGTTTCTGTGTGATAAACGTGACCTCATATAGTTAATTGTTTCAAAATAATTTCGCACATTTAACCACAGGTAATTCTAGATTATGCAAGTTTAATTTTCGAATATGGAACCCATCGCAGGTGTTCCTGGGGAAATTGGCTTCGAAAATTACCGTAATAAATTAATTAGGGTGAAATAGACCAGATCTTTTAACCTGAATGTATGGTTAATCATGATTTACGAGCCCAGCTAGGTTAAGCAATAAAATATTTATGTACACCATACACGAAGCCAGATGTAATTAGCAGGAATTTATTGCACACCGCAAACGTTTTAGAACGCAGTATTTTATGCTATATGGAATAAAATCTAGAAGAGTGATGTTCAAACTTATCGAGTTATTCTGATAAAAATTTCTTATAGACTTAAATATACATAACACCGTCGATAATTTTACCTTGACAATATTGACGAATCGTTAGGGAACTTTTGAAATAAATACACGTTAAAGAAACCACACTTGGCTCAGTCTATGCTACATTTGTAATCTATAACTAACGAATTCGATCAAATATTTCTTTGCTCCATTTGCCATGTAACAGGTAACATTGCGAAAATATAATGTTCACACAACAATTAAAGTAGAATAATTAAGTGAATGTTAATTTCTCTTTGTACATAACACGGACCTAAGCTCGGTCAAATAACTATCGTCATTCTAGCAATCTAAAAAATAACTTCATTTGAACCGCATGTTCATTTTGGTGATTAAGTCTCAAAGATCTGAATCGGTTCTATAAATATTTACGGGCAAATAACTATAAAATCGATTAATTATAATAGGCGGAATAATCGCGTAATTCAAACATACAGTAACATTACTTATGTTATTTTTTGTTATCTTTGAACACTTTTAATTTGTCTGTTTTAATGAACGTTTGAAAATAATATCGTATATAGTAGCACGTTGTGCCTTTATATAAAATAAGTCAGTAAGGATATCGCTTTGAAAAAATTTATTGACATAAGTAGGGCTCTAACCAACGACCACGGCGTTCCGTGTTGCTGTAACCATACGGGTAGGGTAGTCGACTCTAACTAGCTAGCTAGCTCTAACTAACTTTGAAATTTTAGTATGGAACCTCTTTTGGAATATGTACTTTGATTTATTAGGTCAAGGTAACCATAATAGAGATACCGTTTAAACAACCATGTTTACAAATTAATTAATTACCTTAATCCATCATACGCATAATTTAAGACCCTGACAACAGGCCAAGCGGCTTCATCATCAGACTTGGTGTACGGCGCCATAATATCACTCATATAGACGTAAACATCACGCTCGCAGAGAAATCTTCAAACGAGTGACGCTATATTGCGGAAAATATAACAGAACACGATAGTCTGACATCGCGATGGAAACGTAACTGATTACTGAAACTAACTAACGTGTAAGTTATCACCCATATTGTAGTTTTGCGTTGGCGGCCTTAGATAAACCGCGGTTAGTAATTGCTGATTATCATCATTGTCGCTGAATTTTCTGCTTATTGCTGAATTAACCAGTAATCGTAAGTTATTTATGCGTATAAGCAAAACATCTTACATTATAAATACACCAAGCATAGGATTTACTTGATGGAAGGTGAAATATCCCAGCCATATAACATTTAAACAAAATGTCCTTGTCTCCTAATTAGGCTTAAGACATTCAGAAATCCACAGACTGCAACCGGAACGATTAAACTTGACGGCTTTTTCATCTGTCGTCGGTGGTTCGTGATCCAGACGGAATTTTGCTATTCCTACCTCACACTTAAACTCTGTTCGCGAGAGGTCACATGTTTCAGAAAAATTAGAAATGTATAACAAAACATCGTCGGAATAAATACAAAAACTAAAATGATGTACAATAACGCACTTAATAGGGGTTGAAGGAACGTTAAATAAATTAATGTTTTTAATACAAAATAAAATCTGCTGCACTTTTGCTGCATCTACAGACGTAAGAGTTGCTGGCAAATCAGTTAGATCGACATAGAGGTAAAAAATTAAGGTAAGTTACAAAAAATTTACAATTCTACAGACTTGTTTTCGAATTGACGTAAAACTTGAAACGACGTATTTTTTGCTTATTTGAATCATAAAGTGCGTCATTAGAATTTATGTCGTGGCACACCAAACCACCGTTCATAATATCCTTCCTTAATGGAATCTCTCAGGCCGTTAACGTTTCTCCTATCAACTAGAGATAGATAAACAAAGTAATCGATAGTGTTTGTTATACTTTGTATCGGAACGCTTTCTATTATTACACCATTTTCAAACACTGAAATTCCATTATGTAACGCTTGTAAATAGCTCGTTGAACCAACTGAAAGCAGATAGATCTCGTGTCAATTTAAACCTAGATTGTTCTGTCAACTGTACTGTGTGGTGGAACATCGCGGTGTCTATCTAGGAATCTATTTGTCTGGTATTTATAAACTGACTTGGTAAAAGTAAGTCATGTAAAAGTTTGTAAAAGTAAGGTTAGCGAATTTGCCGATAAAGAACTCTTAACAAGAAACTTACTAGTCAAAGTGGATCTGTCGGCCAAAGTTTGGTAGATGTAAGTAAAACCTTGACGCACACAGAATCCTGTCACTTCTTTAATAGGCTGATAGTATAATAACAATAATATTTAAACTAATATTATAAAGCTGAAGACATTGTTTCTTTGTTTAAACGAGCTTATCTCAGTAACTACTGGTTCGCGTTGAATTAAAACTTCGTTCTGTGTTGGTTAGAGCATTTATCAAGTATGGATTGAGGTTAAACAATGAAAATGGTTTAAATACCCAACAATAAAATGAAAGAATGATTCCTCTTTAAATTACCTAAACAAATATCCGCGAAAAGTTATCTATCTTTTACGATAGATAGACGAGTTATAGCTTTTTTTTTTTTTTTGAATTGACTATAACGTATTGTGTTCCTATGGAGCCACGAATACTAACCGGGCGTTTTGGGCGAGCGCGAGAGCGCTCGCCGTGTTTGCGGCTAGACCAAGGGTGCCCCGAGGGGGGCAACGGCCTCGGCTTGGACCGCCGCAACACGAGTTATAGCCTAACAGTCGGTGACTTACTTGTCGTGTTTGGTGGGTCTCGCCTGAGGCTCAAGCTGTAGCGGGGTGGCGGGGGCGGAGCGAGGCGCCCCGACCCCGCCACCAGTACCTGACGAAAAGTTCCCGGTTGACCTGGAACAATGATTAACTTATTATATTTTTGTTTATATGAAATCTGGTCATTATAAAAGAAAAGTGATATGTTTGCAGGAAGTATTATACTAAATGATAAAGTGGTTGGTGGGTCGTATAGTCCGTTATACCTATAACATTTGGTTGTTATTGAGTAAAGAGTCAATCTTTATATATCGCAATAATTTTTATTGGTATTAATAAGAAATATAATATATGTCTTTGTATAACAAACCGAAGGTAATTTTTATACAGTTCTAAAACACATATAAAGTAATCTCAGCTAAGAATTGTACGCCAACTCTTTAACTTACTGGGACACACAGCGAAAGTGACATTTGACATATCTCATGGAAGGTCCAAGTCAGGAATGCATACAAAAATGCTGTACATGTATTTTGAATTAAGTAGAATTAAGATTAAGAAGCTGAGTGTTGCGTTGATGCTATTAAGTTAAGTATCGTATTAGGTAACGCAATAATGTATATTTTCGTAACCCTCCAATTAGATAAATTGTCATTAGGAATCTGCCTAAGCGCCAAGTCATTTCTTGATAATTAATGATTACAAACATCAAAACTGAAAGAGGATACTCCTCGTGTTTAGTCTTCGAACCAATAATTCAAAACAATACAGCAATATAAGTTAAACAAGCACTGTACCGTGCTGTAGGACGGCGGTTTGAAACGTAATGAAATTAAATGAAACACTTGTAACGGTTTAAAACGCGAATTGTATTAATTATCTTTAATAACTAAGGCAATACTTTCCTCCCATGACTTTGGCTGTTGAATGGCGCCACGCGGGGTCGTAGTTATAATAAAGTAAAATAATTCTTGTTTTAAACCGTTAAAAGCGTTTTATTTGATGTCAATTACTACAGTGTACAGTTACTGTTTGACACGGGACGTACACACATTATATGCGGACGAAGTCGCGGGCACAGCTAGTATAACAATGAACAGACAACAAAGTAAAATTAAAAATTGTAAGTCTATTTTCATTATCTAAGAAACCAATTACCATTAATTTGTTTTGTTGTAAGTAATTGGTTTTCATAGTTTATTGTTATTTCTATGAGATAACTAGAAACATAATATGTGGCAAATAACGCCCATTATTGTTTTCTAACATTACTAAGATAAGTAAAGTTAGTATAACCAACAAATAAGCAATATGAAATTCGATTTTCCTTCTTTTATAAAATCTAATATAAATATATTTAAATTAATGAATTAACGATTAGAAACGCGAAAAATATTATTGCTGTACATTTGCCTTTGGCCTTACTTGGGTGTTACACGACACTACTGCAAAGCAACTGAAAAGTCGGTTGAAAAAGGATAAGAATTAATATATTCCGCGTTTTAAACAGTTAAAAGCTTTTTAATAAAATATGTACCACTTACTACAGACAAAACTTAATCAATTTTAACATGATTCATGTCACAATGTTATCGAACTGCTGCAAAAGAAATTACTTTTTTATCGATTTTTTAACAATATTAAAATGTAAAGTGGTGCTTAGCAATTGTTTATCGACTAAACAATTACCTATATTATAATATTAATGATAACGAATTAGCGTTAATTTCAATTGACAATACAAACTTTAAAATGGTGAGGGTAGAATTAAAATCGAGCAAAATTCTCAGTGAGAATCTTATTTGAATCGTTTTGTGTCTTCATTTCTTTTATATATAGATAACTATATATAGATATAACTCTTAAGTAGTAGGACTTGAATGAAACTGAACTGTTAATAATTATGTGGTAATACCCCACCCACATCTATGCTCAAGGATATGAGCTAATTAGGATAACGTGGTGGTACTATCATGAAAAGCACGTTAATAAGGAAGCATTGATGTCCCTATCATTTATGCCAAACAAGATCACCTTTGTGGGACTGAATGTACCTATTGCTTGGAACATTGCGCATGATGGTTTTATGTAAATTATGAATAAAAAAAACGAAGGCAGGGACGGAACTCAAACCTATGGTCGTGTTTCTTACTAACTGAACTACCTAATCAAGCAAATTCTTTAAAGAAGACGAGAAGTTGTGTGTCAGTGACTTTTTTAATCTTACTATGTACATTTACCGCCATATTGTTTTCTCTGTAGTTGAACATAAACATATGAAAACAAATGTATGAAATATGTAATAGTCATAATCATTTTTATTGTTTGTTTAGGCGATTAGTACACATTTAAATAAAACATTAAGTAATTAAGTTAAAGAATTTGTTGATGAGATGTTTCACGTTATAAACCGTCATGAGTGTTTTATTTAAATAAATTATTTGTAGCTAGTAATAACTAATACCACATAAATAATATAAAATTATTTAATGGGCTTATATACTCGAAGTAAAAATCTGTACGACCCAAAATATAAGAAAAAAGCTATACGGCGTTTTCGCGTTTGAAATGCTTCGTTATGTGTATGGCACACATAACGAAGCATTTCAAATGCGAAGACAAACAGAAAAATAGCTTGTCTTCTAACGTTGGATGTGTTTTTTCGAACAGGCCCTACTTTCAGTATTCTATTTCTTGAGCGAAGAATTTTTATCTAGATACTAATATATAAACGCGCTAATCTCAGGAACTACGGGTTCGAATTGAAAAATTATTTTTGTGTTGTTTAGAGAATTTATCAAAGGAGGCTATAAAATATCGCCTGTGACAAAAACAACTGAATGCGCAAAAATCCGAAAAAAATGGAAAATTATTCATTATTGTTAGTGTGTTTCGAGGCTACCCAAGGAAGACCCAAAAATATGTAAGGAAGAATTATTCCTCTTTAAATTACCTAGAAAAAGTCCACTATCTTTACCATCTATCTTTTAAGATTGCCTTCCAAGAACGGAAACAAATTTGGATGTCCAAAATAACTATTCTACGCGGACGAAGTCGCTTACTCAGCTAGTATTTAATAAGGTTTGAAATACTTACGACCCTTTTATTATTCCACTTTACACTCATAATTTAAAGTTAACATATTATGTATCTTGTGGTACGACAGCGCACTAAAAACACAATAACTCTACGAGAGTTTGAACCAAAATAATCGTCCCAGTTTACTATAACATTGAGAATCCCAAAGTTATTTCGAAACTGTTTAACAACACTCCATTTGTTTTGTGAGAGACTTTGAATTTGATTCTTTGTTTATAAAATAGATAAGTTATTTGACATAGTGTGTGCAGTTCAGTCGAAGGATTAGTTTAGTCGAGTTCACAATGTTGAGTGGAATCTTTGTTTTATTCATCAAGTTCTTACTTCTCGAAGGAGTGAGCTAAAACTATTTTGTCTTTAATTAACCCTAAGTACACTTTACACTCTACTTACCCTCTCTCAACAAACTGTGTGAGCCTGTACTAATACTACCCTACAATTTTGTTTCTGTTTATGTTTTTGATTTCCTACACCTACTCTATGAAGGCCAGAGCGCAAAAAGTTTTTATAGCTGAAAATAATATCTGCAAAGCAAAGTAGATTTTATAACAATCACGCAGTTTATTTAATAGAAGGATTTTGTGCCTGGCGACAGTGCCCTTGAAAGTGTAATATCATTAAATGCTTGTGCAATTATTCTAAGTGGGAGTATATCCGGTGTTACTATAAGAGAGACCGGTGCCGAAATGTTTTTTATGCACTTTGAATTAAATGAATTATATAAATTCGTTTATTTATTTAAAATGCCATTTTAAAGCCTGTCTATCTCCTAAAGTCTTTTCAAACTAAAATCGATTTTTAAATTATATATCAATTTTTTAAAAATGACTTAATTTTTTTAAATGAATATTAGTTAATGATGTATGTATATATTTTTCTTTTGGCTGTAAAAATTTCAATGCTCAGGCCGGTTACGCATAAACATGTATTAGTACACTTGTAAAATACTTATTACTTTTCAGAGAATGATTCTAACAAAGTACGAAGCGGAGGCGTCCACAATTGACAAGGACCCGATTCCCTTGGCGATTTCTGACTTTGACAGATCAAACGAGAGGTACACAGAGTATAAACCGATAGACCACGAAGATCACGACAGCCACGACACAGATTACGAAAGGAAAGCCGACGAGAAGATAAAAAAGGTAGATACCGATATTTTCCATGCGCAATGGAAAGTGCTATTACAATACACATATTATTAACAACTGATAAGAAAAATGATTCATGTATAACAAAATGTTGATCACCTAACTGTCGATAATTTCCTACTGATATTTTTTATACTGGAATAATTCCAACAGTAATCGATAACAATTAACTGTATAGTAAAAAATAGTGTACAAATGTTTAAAACTTTCAGCCATGCTCCATTGTAGTTTTATCTCATATTCAAAATCCAAGCATGCAGTCTTTGTTGAGAAAATACAGATATGATTCAAATGGTAAGTAAAAACTTTACCCATATATAAATAATAAGATATAATATACTAAAAGAAATAGACTAACTAGACTATAAATTGTGTCTTTAAAATACTTTCTTCTTTACAATTCAATTTATTTTAAGACCTAAAGTCACATACATAAGGAGACAATATTTCGTGTTTTTAGTTATTAAAATTGCTATGTTGTAGAATTAATACGTGAATTAGCTTTTATCAACCTACACATACACCTTGCTTTCTTCATTAATTCTATTAATATTTAAACATTTTACCGTCAATAGAAACATAACAATATGTTCATTTACGAATTGAAGTTGTCACCTACATATAAATACAAAATATATATATTCAGCAAACATACAATTATGTTTCTTTAAAGGGATACTGATACCAGGCAGCGTAAAATATTTCATCAAACTACCACAAGGGTTGAAATCGTCGCCTTTACTAGTGCCTTTGAACGATAGAGCCTTTTCGCCCTTGGGAAGTTTTGTAAGGTATAAAAATATATATTCATTGCGTTAATGCATTTATCACCAACATTTCACAATATTATTGGTTGCAAATCACTCTGTTATCTCAATTGTAGTTTAGTATTACACGTTAATCAATTGGATTCTGGCAAAACGCCCACGAAACCTAATTCTAATAACATTATCAAATTAAACAGCCTGAATTTTCTTCAAGAAATTTTCAACTAAGTTTTAACAAATATGATTGAATTTTTTTAAAAGTTTCTTCTAATAATCTCTTTATGGGAAAAAGCGTTCGCAGACCTGCAAGATGATTTACTATTTTGTCGTTTAATTAAATTCAAGAACTCTTCAGTAAAATCATATAAAATTTACAAACACCTAAGGATCCAATTTTTACATTTTCAGATATTATAAGGAAGTGCCACCGATCCCTCAAGCATGGTGAAAAAACTGACGATCGAATAAATATACTAAATTTACAAGATCAATACTTTATCATACAAAAATTTGCATGCATTACAATAATTTTAAATACATTAACAGTTTAGCGTTTTCAAGTGACATATTATTTTTAAACACCAAAGACGAAGCAAAAACTCAAAACCTAGGACGAAAGAAGCCAAATACCACCTGATAAATTTTTTGTCATTGGATTTTGTCGTCGGTTCATGAAACAGTGATCAAACAAATGTTGGTTCTCATCACACGCTTTGACGACTTAATAATTTCATTAAAAATGCGGGATTCAAACATCTGTTTTTCACACTTGTATATTCTGATCATCGTCGATTATAGATGTTATTAATAATTAACTCGCCGACTTATTCTGTTGAGTATTGATGAGTGGCAATTTTGTCACAGTTAAAGTAAAATATCCCAAGAAACGACCTCCAATCGTTCGTAGTTAGCCTACAAAAACCAAACAAACCAGTTTCTAACAAACAAGATTACTTATCGTTCATGTAACATGTGTACTGACACGTAAACATTTTGTAAAATACAGCTATAGACGAGGAAAACTCCGTTCTTCATCCCAATAAACTATCGGTATTCACTCTATAATGCAGCCTAAATGTAGAGAACAATTATGTAAGTTTTTGCTTTTCAGCTTTTTTCACCTTATATGTGCAATTTTTTTGTCATAAGCAACTAATGAGTCTTCGATAAAAACCAGTTAAGCTATAGAATATTCGAGAGACATTTTAAATAATAAAAATCAAGTCAGGCAATGAGTTAAGATCGATAAAATGTAATAAAACAGTTAAGTTTCTGCCCACCGCATCAGATAAAGACGAAAAGCAAAACGGTGGCATTGTGCCAACATCCATACGCGATGTCGACTTCTATTATGGGAATGTAGAAAACACCAAAGCTATTTCGGAAGGACAGTTGCTTGTAACATCCAGCTGTACCTATTCTGTCCATCAAAACGCTACAATTAATGTGCCCGTGAACGAAGGCTTTAGTCGTTTCAAACTGACATTAAGGCCAGGAAATTCCGCATTAACCTATAGACTGTTTAGATCTTATAGGCAAACCCAGAAACTTTATCGAATATTTTGAATATTGACTGGGCTCGTTGGTGTAAAGCGTGTGGGTAATATGGTTGGTTCGATCCCCAAAGACTTCAACATGTTTCCCATCATTTATAATTTTTCTGAAACACGTTGGACTTCGTCTGGAAATCTGGATTTTAACTGGGTCGTAGGAAAATCGAATTTGATTTTGATTCCTGAATATCCAAAATGGGTCGACAACTCATCTTATTAAGTTATTATAGGTTTTTCACCTACTATCAAGGGAACCCCATATTTGTTTGTCCTCTATCATAAAATAATGTAACTTAAACAATTCTGACTTTGTTACGTATCGCAATATTTCCCTCTACGAAACCTTAAATGTCAAAGGACCATAATCTATCGATGTATATATCGAACGAGACCTCACAATCAAAATCAGCAATGTGTCCCCAACGACACAAGATCACTATGTAGATTTGCTGATGTTTAATTCAACAGCGAGCGCGAATATTATATTTCGATATTAACCTTGGGTGTTGATGATCCACTGAGGTTCGTTAAGTGAATCATCCGTCGTTACCCTTTTAAAGACTATATCAACAGAGGAGCGTCAGAGATATAGACATAGAAAATATTTGTGTATATATTTAAAAAAAAATATTATTTTTTACATGTTATATATATATATAGCACGTGAAGGCACTATGTAATTTAAAAATTAAAAATAAATTGTTTTTTTTTGTGTATTATTAACCATGCAAAATCTATGGGTATAATCAAATGTTAATTGCATATGTTACTAATCAATTTATGAATTCATCCGTGCCACAAACCACCTTTAACCGCGTTTCGGCTTCAGTCTGTGGACTTTCATCTTGTTAAGATGTTATATGACTACGGTATTTCATGTACCATCAAGTAAATCATTTGCTTGCATGATTCACGTCTTGATGTGTGAAATACCTCCTCTATTATAAAAAATTACTTAAATCCAAATAAATCACATAGCAAAATCGATTTATTAATTAAAGAATTCAATGCCATTACGCAACCATACAAGAGTAACATTGAAACGACATCTTCAATAGTCAAACTACAGTTAAAAATTGAAACAAATGGCAGTAGAATGCAGTTATATTGGATTTCATAAGTCAGCGTGAAAACCTCGGATCACGTTGCCAAGGCACGTCTCCACGTGGGCGACTAAACTACTGCAGAATTGCAGACTAAGGTCACGGTCGGATACTAATAATTAAGATGAGTACGGTAAGTACGATGACATAGGCATTTTACAATTAATACTGTACCCTCTTTTGCTGTTAGACAGACATCTTGATACGACTCGTTGTTAAAACGGTCTGTCTAGTCGAAGACTGACTTAGATTTTTTGTACACCTAGAATGTGTTTCATCATTATATGAACGTTTAAAATTTTGACCATAATTTGACGTATTTTCGGTTATACATTGTACTTAGTATCTGTACTGTACCAAGAGATATCCACCTGCTAAAAGAAATCTGGAGCCTTACTCTTCACATACAAGGTCAGGATAAAACAATACGATATTCTTTTTTTTCAATGGTGTATGACGAATTGTGGAGTTTAATAATAGTATAAGAATTATATCTATTGCCATGGACGAGGTAGAAAATCATTAAAGAAATTATTTTTACAGAATCATTGACACTATAATCATTATTAATAATTATACTTATTACGGTAGCTTGTTAGGTAGGGAAGAGGATTTTCCTTTGCATTAAATTACCTTCACAGCTCAGTTACTAGGCTATTTAAACTAAAATACGCCTACTAGTTAATATTGAAGGTTCAATCTTCGCCTTGAAAATTAGTAAGCAAATGAATATCATATTAAACGTTAAAGGTAAGTGCATCAATCAAATAGGAAATATAAACACTTGGAAATGTTAAATAAATAGATTACATCAATTATACGATTTATTTTTTAGAAGATGTAATCACATTTCGTATTTGAATTTAAGTAAGGGTTTGCATATAATAGAATTTTAAATACCATAAAATAATGTTCTTTACTGCATATTTTTAACAATAAGGTCCTAAAATAGCCAATAAGCAATGTTAAGAATAATAAATAGGTACTTAAATTTGCGTATCGAATACACAAACAACCGCATGTAGCTATATGTATAAACTAACAACATCTAGTCCTTAACATAATACACGATATTCTGGTGAGATACTGTTTGACGTAAACTAGGCCACTAACATGTGGTACTTCTATCATCGAATTACAACGTTGCTACCACATTTTATAGCTAATTAAGCATTTTAAACCTTATTAAAACCGGTAATTAAATATTACCGGTTTTAATAAAGTATTATCATTGTGGGTAGATTTACTAATAATAAGTCCAAAACAAGCTTAGGCTAAACTAGTTCTAATATATATAAATGGTGTTCTTCACAATTACACTGGTCCATTTTTAAAATAATTTAATTTCTATTTATTAGTTCTATATACTATCTTTAAGCCTTAAAAACTTGTATCAGACAGGGTAATTGTAGATATTGTTAATTTATAGAGACTGAATGATAATAATGCATTACTTCAAACTTAAAACTATTTAACAACTTTCTTCATAGGTACAGGTTCTTAGTTGGTGGTGATCGTTGGTTAACAACATAACGTTTAATATAAATAAAGCAAGAATTACAGTTTCAAATTTCTGCACATGGTGCTGTATAAATTAAAAGATAATACGACTTCCATTAGTGGGTATGTGTCAATTATTGCTGATAAAATGTAATTGAACTTTGACAATGGGTCAAATGTTGAGCAAAAAGTAATTGGAAGAATGAAGTGAAATTATTTTCTTTAATTATTTAACAAGTACTAATAAATATATACCTAATAATGTTTAATTAGATGCAAACCTTTAAAATATAAATTCATACATACATTTTTATTAAATATTAAAAGGTTTAATTTATGTAACAAACAGGTAACGAGTGATGAAAAATTAGTCACAAAATCATTACTACTTTGTCTAATACATATGCTCTGTTTATCTCAGTTATTGTGAGGATTTGTGCGTTGCCTTAATTCATCAACACAAGCTTATCTAATCTTTTTGATATACCTATATCATATCCTGATAAATATTGTAGACATGCATCTTTATTCTCTGCAAATAAAAAATGTGCTCAAGTCTGTACAGAATTATTGCTTCATTCAAAGTAATGTAACAGCCATAAAATAGGTGATGTAGATTCATTCTTATTTTCAATGTATAATATTGCACTTTTGAAAATATGTAATAAAACATATAAGTAATGTAATGTAACATTTTCTGATTATTTTTATTAATGATTTTCTACCTTGAGAGTAAGCATATACAAAAAAATTTGCTCCATGGAAAAATCCACTGATATTCACATCAAGGTGTAACATGATTCACATAATAATTTATTTCCAATAATAACAATTTGCCATCATGAATTGACGGATAAGTGTGAATTTTATTACTTGGTTATTAAACAAAACCTTTAAATTTGGTAACCATCCTTTTACCAGAAAAACAAATATTAAACTTATGTTATTATATTATTATTTATATCCCACAATAAGTCATACACATAACTATTTATTTTCCTATAAGTTTTTCAGTCCTAGAAAAGAATTTTTCTGAAAAACCTAACTAACACAAAAATGGTTACAGATACAAGTGCATTTATTTTTATAAATGGGATACTTTAGGGAATGGAGAGAACACATTTGTCCTCCACAAAGCATCCTATTTTAATTGTTTTTTCCTAATTTTATTAACAAAAGCCTAGAATAAACTAAAGTTAAGTTTTATTGAATTATTATACAAGCTATTAAAAGGAATCTTAATATAATAATTTGTGGTTCAGATGTTAGATGTAGGTAGCAGAAATTAAAATTTCTGAAATAGTAGTGGGTACTTAATAATATAATTAATAGTGGAGTATAGTTACCATGTTTTTCTAATAGTCAACAATCCTTTTTGAGACTTCTTCCCACTGTCGGAAATCACAGAGAAACGATCACTGAAGCTCCGCTTAACATCAGGCAAGTTTTTAAGCAACTTTTCTCCAGTAGAGAGCCTTAGGGACCTGCCCTTAGACAGTGGGTTCCTCAATTCGACTTCATCACTGTCATTTACTTCAGATAAGTCGGTCACAGCAGGTGCTCGTTTTACACCTGACTTTTTTGCTGTTTTCTGATTACCTTTGCTGTCCACATCTCGATTATCTTTATCTCTAAAACCTTGTACAAAACACAACATAATGTCGTCCGGTATTTCCTTCATTGATTCCCTTCCTTTATAGGAAATTATTTAACCATTTTATTTAGGTACACTTTCTAAACACTGTCGAACGTTAGTCACTGGTTATATCTTTCACATGCGGAACTTTAAAATTACATGTATATAGGAATTAAAGAAAACATTAAGAACTCTCGATTCATTCCATTTTCCTATAAGTATCAAAAATAATCAAGAAAAACGTCGAAGCACAAATGTTTTTAATACAAGAATTGTGATAACACACCAAATAATCATGAATTCATGACAGAACTATCGTTAGATTGACAACTAAAGTAACGTTTATAAAGATGTGTCGATTAACGAACCGCGCAACTCGGAACAGCTGTTGACGAATACTGAATACAAGTGGGGCACAGCGGAGCGCGGAATCGAAAATGCGGGAACTATCAACTTTGATATTGTAGTCAATATTTAATGCGTAGATGTAAGCGCCTTTTGTATGTTTTAGTTTTAAGAACTTTTATTTTTAAATCATGCGCTAAAACCAATTGGCATGTAGGTTTACTCTATTTGTATATTTTATTCGATTAATGTAATACTTATTATTTTTATACCAATCGTCATGTAGAAACATCCTAACTTTTATGAATAATAGATTAAACTCAAACATTATTTTGTCACAACTGTCACTGTCAAAAGGCAGATTTTAAACGTCATGATTAAACGGCGCCAAAAATCAAAACGGGCGATTTTGACTTTGAATGGATTATACTTGTAAGTATTTCTTGCGTAGGTACGCAAATATGTATTTTTATAATATTATTACTTATTAAACGTTCAATATACGTCGAGTAAAACGCATTTAGTCGCTTAAAACACGATCAATACCGGTATTAAACATACAAACTTAGTGCATCCTAAACATCATTAGGATATATTTTAGCAGCCACGGTCGTAAAAAGATTATCGATACGTAATGTTAAAAAAAGTATAATTGTTTGAAATTAAAAAAAAATACTTAAATCAAGACTTCAAAACTGCTTTAAGAGATGCACAATAATAAAAGGGTGTCAAATAATGTCAATGTTCTACCTATGCACTAGTATTTCCTTTGTACCAATTTCTCGACAGTTCTGTTATTCCCTTTAATCAATAAGTCTGGAAAACTTGAAAAATGAACAGGATCACCAAGGTAACCGGGAACTTCAAACTTATAAACATTGTTTTCCCGACTCATAATGTATGCAATTTTAACGTTATTTAGGTGTTCACAAATGTAACGTAAACTATTCAGTTCTATACGTGGCGTTAGCAGTTGATACATATTATAGTCTTAATTTGTATAATAATTAATATATTCTTTGAAAAACACACATTACATAAAGTAGGTACATTCTAGGTGAGTCAACAATAGGTACTTACTTGAAGTAATTACTAAAAATTATAATTAATTAGATGTACTTTGGATCTTGTTTTCTTAGTATTAACATTATAACTTTTTTTTAAGACTATTAACGAAAAATATTTCAAAATATCTAAAATCGGATAATTTAGTAATTAATTAATGATTGTTTATTTTTAATTATTGTACTTTATTCGATTACGTAATAGAATATTTTAGCCGTAAACATTGCCTAATTGTTTACACTTATAGCAACGTGTGATGCATCTCTATTCTATAAAATCATACATCAAACGACAAACTTCGAAAATTCTCCGCGCTTCGGGGAATCCATAATATAGCTGAGTCGTTAATTGACAATTTGATATTCATACATCATTCATCATCGCCAAAAACGTATTTTTATTGCGCATTTTAGAAAAAACTGTACAAAGAACAATATAAAGATCAATACAAAGACATGTTGTACATACATTTATATAATTCTTAAATAAAATTGAAATAACTGAAACAAAAACTGTTAGCCTTATCAAGTGATAATCTAGGCGTAACTTAATTTACTCGTAGAATAGTACAATATTTCACCACCACGTGCCTTTTTATTCCATTACTTATCAAATTATTGGTGTTAACAAAGTAATAATAAGAATAATAAGAAAAACTTACGATCGCCCAGCTTGTATTTTGTTAGTAATTTGTAAATTGAAGCCTCTAACTACGCATCGCTATTAATTTTTGGCGCATTTAATACTTTGTCAACGCTTTGAGTTCCCTAGAAATATCGTTTAATATATTAATAACAAAAAAATTATATAAGTAATGCCAGCAATATCTTTACAACAAAAGTAATTCTTGGTAATATTTGTTAACAAAAAGTATAAAGTGATGGGCTTTTAATATTCAATTATGTAAATCGAGGATCCAACGACCGACACCGTCGGATGAAATATTTAGATGTATCGATTTATTATATTTCTTTCAAACCCGTTGCAGTCGACCAGGGAATAGCCGAGTAAAGTGAGTAAACCTTCAGTGGCAGAAATTTTTTAGTAGATCTTGTTTTGTCTTAAAATCTCGCCACTAAAAAAATATACAAATACAGACTAAAACTGAATGACGCATAGCTAACTACAGGAGATTTTACATCCATAGAATATAAACATAATAAAAATAAACAAGGAATATGGGTTTTTGACGTAACGTCTGCTAAATACGTGCAAAGTATATTCTATGGTTACGTGTTAGGGCGTGTGATCGTCGTCAACGTAATTTTTGGCAAACCTCCCGCTGGAACATGTTACAATATTGAGTTTAGATGGGCTTCGTTATAATGAACGGGCGAAGACCTCGTAAAGGTAACCTAATTATTCTGATATTCTTATTATCCGGTTTAATAATAAATATCTTAATTTGGAAGTGAGACGCTATGCTTCCTATTATTGATACACATAATTCTTATAACACTCGTCCTACCTACTCCACTAATAACTACTTTTCCAGAACCAGTAAGTACTTTTCCTGGGATTAGCGCGTTTGCACAAACAACAAACTATTCAGTTTATAATATTAATATAAATATGAAGTAAATCGACACAGTGGAAACATGTGAAATTATAATCAGGTCTAGAATAAGTAAATACTACAATGCTACAATATTCCTTAAGCAGAGCTTGTCTAGAAGTTTACTTTTGCGTTTTAAAATTCCTTCATCGCAAATCGTAAAATGGCTATAAAACATTATAAATGTTATTGTAATATCGTGAAATCGTGTCATACATGTGTAATTTGAGCATCGTATCGAATTAGTTCGATGGAAAATAAATATTTAACGAGTCAATTTATGTTGGCACTAAAACAGTGAGCGTGAAAATGAAATGGAAAATTAATGTGTGAAGGACTTAAATTTCTTCGTAGCTGACTAATATTATTTTTGATCTTTAACGTCAACAATATCATGAATAATAATCATCATCAAAAATCCAGGGGTGTCATGACAACCCCCCCCCCCTGAAATGATTTACCACCACGTTGATTAATCTAGACTCTAGAGCTTAATTAAAACGCTATGTTGAACCTCTGACTCTTGTGCATGGATCACTAGGTTTTCATTATTCTTTTGTTTACCCTGTTGTGTAATAAGAAAATTGGAAATGTTTTCCCCTAATGATAAGAACTCTCCGTCCCTCCTCCCTCCGTCTCTACATTTACCTTTGTAAACACTTTATCAAAATGTACATAACATTATGATACTACTTATGTATGTATATTACAAAACTGAATTTTCATTGCCGGATGTACATAGTACGATGATTGATGTTATAATAAAGACCGTTCTTGCTCCTAAAAGAGATCGTACTACGAAGCATAGTAATATTTTTCCACGATACGGTAAGTACAGCCACAGAATACATATAACTTATTCCTCTGTGAAGTAAGTATTTTCACCTGTTGCAACAGAGCGTTCACTACTAACATGATTTATATGCATTTGTGAGATTTTATTTCAGGTTTTATTGTTAGGTTAGTATGGACGGCCCCGAGCCGTCGTGGCATTAAAAAAAGTCGATCTAAATTGTATTATTCCTCTAGGTAGTAACCGACTTCTTTCCCGCAAATAAGTTATTTGTCGTGTCTACCTAAAAACTAACCACTTAGTGCGTTTATCTTATAAAGTCAGAGTTTAGAAAAACAATTGATAAATACTCAAAAAAAAACTCCAAAATTAGAATGTTTATGAACTGATAAATAAAATGAGAGGCCTCAACTTTTTTTTTAGAAAAGGAATAAAAACTTTACCCTCTCCTATTATCTTCCGGCGAAGCAATTTTTCTACTCTTGAGCCAAGCTTTTCTGAGACTTGCAATTGGCAAGCTGTCGCGTCTTAAGGACCATTTCATTCGCCCTGGACCACGAAATGGCAGCCCCACTAGGTGGCCGATAAAAACATCACTGTCCATAGTCTATAGATCGTAACCGAAGAACAAGTAGATAATTTAATACCCCACTTTTTCTGTTTACGACGTACGTTTTCCGTTAACGTAAAGATTACATATGCAGAATATAATAATGAGTATCGAGGTTTAACATGTTTATTTAAAATACATATTTTATTCTTTCACGTATCACGATCAAAACACAGCATTGTCGGCAAAACACTGGCGTAATTATTCCTTATCTCTATTATATTCGAGTCTTTATTTGCTTAAAGATATTAGACATGGTATTGAGCTAAGTAAATAGATGCAGCTGGTTATATAATTAATTTAAAAAAATCGAGTGTTGACTCTTGAATTATGCACACACAGTATATAAGCATAACCTTTTACTTATTTAAAATAAGTTTGTATACGTCAAAGACGTGACGTGAATAATAAAGAAACTATGTTGTAGTGTGATAGGTTTCCGATGTAACACAATAAAATAGTTAAATAATATGTCTATTTAGATTAACAAAAACACGATTCACCGAACGCGACTCGAAACCACGAGTTCTACATGATTCTACATGACTCTGTTGCTTAACGTTCAAAGTAGTAATGATTCAAGCAATAATGAACGGCTTCTGTTGGGAGGGCAGTTAATATACTAGTTAAACTTATGATCATATAATTTGAACTACGTTTCAGATGCTTTTCAGCAGCCGTGATCACGGGGAGACAAAAAATGGGTGTCTCTAATGTAAAAAACTGCTACGCTACCGCCTTTGTTTTTGCCAAAGCTTCCGAAACTATAGTCGTCATCATTAAAATTATTTGGTAAATAAGTTTAGCTACTATATTTCGCGTTTTAAATCGTTTAAGTGTTTTATGAAAAAAAGTATATTATTTAAGTACATATATGTATAGAATGTAGGATAATTGCTTTTTCCTTCTATGCAACAATACGGCTTAATAATTAATATGAAAACTAAGCAAGTGCACACTCTCTTGGCTAGACGCTATTAATTGCTTTCCAAAGACAGGCCTGCACTGGCAGTAAGCCAGTTTCGAGTTACAGGGTAATGAATTAATGGAGTATTTCCTATACAAGTTTTGGTGCTCGAAAATTAATAACATATGTGAAAATACACTTTAACGGTTTAAAACGCGATATATTAGTTTAATCGCGTAATATGTGAAAATGTTTGATAATACAAGGCTAATAACTTCTTTAAATAACGGAATTACTTCAAATTTTCACTGATATAAACAGGGGTTCTAGCGCATCACCGTCCACAGATAAAATAGGCGGAAAGTTTAATCGCGTTTCGGTTTCAGCCAAAATAGGTCGACAACACATCTTGTTTAAATGTTATATGGCTGGGATTTTCCCCTTTCATCAACTGTACTCCATGCTTGTCTGTTCTCCTCTCCACGTTTATGTGGTTCAAACAAGCGCAAAACAGTTTTTGTAATAGTAAGAGAGTTCTCTTATGTGTGTTTAGATAGATAGTATACTTACTGTCCCGGGTAAACAGTAGAGGGAACACGTAGGTGGTGTCTGCGAGGTCGGTCAGCGTCACTGCCGTCGCTGGCTTCTTCTAGCCCGTGCGAACTGCCCGAGCCACCAGCCGACCTGGTAATAATACGTCTTCAAAAAGATAGAACTAAGATCTTACAACTCAACCTCTAGGCGCATTACCCACAGTCCGATGTGCCTTAGCTGGCAAGTAAATAGAGCTTTCACGAATTTAAATTCGCGATATAATTTGGGCATATTGGGAAAAGTGTCAAACTTCTGCTCGGATTCGAACCCAGTGCCTCTCTCACTGTACAATTGAGCCACAGGTTACATAAGGTTACCGATGCCACTGTAACATCCTGATTTATCACAAAATGACAAAAAAATTAAATAGGATATAATTATAATATACACAACACCAAAGAGACTATACCTACAGAATAAGTTTTAGAGCCAATGTAGATAAACAGGGGTAGATTAAATAATATCTTCAATCACCAATAACAAGTAATTTTACTTAGTTCTGCTAGCTTTGATTTATAAAAAATCATACGTTGTTCAAGTACAAATGTAAATATAATATGTTCACCTGGGGTCATTGATTAATTAAATCATATTTTGTCTTAATCGACCACCATATAAGCAAATGCGTACACGACTGTAGACAGTTTAAACGTGCTCAAGCAAAGTTCCGTGATAATCTAAAGATAAAGCATATAGCGTGCAGTTACATCGTTGAAATAAAAATGCAAATTAGAAAGAAATACGTCGAATAAAATTTTGTGCTTGCATCAATTTAGTACCTTGGCATTATAAGCTCTCAAAAAGCCGCAAGCAGGAGCTAATTCTGGATAACTATAGATGAGTTATGAACGTGGACCGCGCCATGCCGATCACCTAAAAATAATGGCTTTCTAAACTATGTAGGATGTTAGAATCAACTGGCTACGAACTGGAATTTGTTGATGCCAATTATATTCTCTGCATTAGTACGGCTTTAATTGAAGGTAATAATCAAGGCTGTTGTGGTTTTATTCTTATTTCTTTTATCATTATTAGGCACAACTAAATAGAACATTTCTTAACGGTCCTGTGAACACAACCCCTTATTTAAAAAACAAAATACTAATATAACGTGTGTTTTAATCAGTTCAAAATGTTTTATTTAATGAGCACTGCTTGCGTTAACTACACATATTAATAAGCATAAATAACCTTAATTAGTTTAGTACATTGTCCAAAATTTTGTGGCAAATTGTTACGGAGTTTAGGACTAATAATAAAAGTGAATTTTTCAATTTTGATTAAATCTCAAAAGGATATTAACCGTACTAAGACGTGGTAGGAAGGGATGTGAGAGGGAACATCATCCCAAAACATGGTTCTAGATTATATTTAATGCTATATAACTAAAAGTAAGCCTTTTATTTTATTTTTATTTAACTAAAAGTATGCATATTTCGCAATATAATACTCGGATCTAGAATATTACCGCAAATGTATAAAACTTACCGAAATATTCTCTTCAAGCGACTAATGACGTAATATTTTATATACACTTTTATACCACGGAATTTAATGATGCAATTTTTTGTTAGCACTCAAAATTATCTAGTAGCATTGCAATCTGTAGCAGAACTATTTGATAAATATACTTCAGTAACTGGTAACATCCGGGTCTGCCCAAGCGGAGACAAATAGTGAAAAATATGTAACGCACCGGCAACCCTATAAGTTCATGGGATTAAACCGATATAGACACGATTCAAACGTTATCTGGAAAATATTCATTTTAAGCAGGTTATGATATTCTAAGCATGCGTAAAACACGCAACTAGGATTACACCTACGCGACACAACACAAAATTATTTATGCACCATTTTTAATTTAATAATAACATCCGTAGCGTAGATATTTCTTTGTTATAAAAGAAATATACACAGGATAGAAAGGTGTCGGCGTTGCTTACTTTTCTTGGAAAGACTAACATAAAATAGGCTTTATGTAGAATTTAATTGAGTTTAAAGAAATCATTAAATTACTCTGCTTTTATGAATTAAAAATCATGTTTAGTAAAGCCATTTTACGTGTAACACAACGAACGTTTCACTATTTATCAATACTACACAGATTTTTCGAATATCGCCTTGTTTATTCTAATTTTGAGCTATCATTAGTATTTCACTCGGTATTTTACTTTCACAACACACACCATACTGTGCCGATCCCTAACAAATCGTGGACATCATCTGGGCTTTAGTTATACAAATGAAAAATATCCCTTAACCCTGTATATTTTAAAACAATATTTCTCTGAAGCACCCCTATTCCTAGAGAAACATGCGCACTGATGCATTGCGCACATTATTGATTGCAATCATATGTATGGTAAGGAAAATGGCGGTAGTTTAAGTTTCGTATTTCTTCCCAAAATTAATAATGTCTATATTTAAATGAGACTAATTTTGTGGTTAAAAGCCTTAAGCTAAAAACTTTGAGGAATTAATAATATTACGTGCTCAGGAATAATAAATTACTTATATGAATAAGATAGAGACAAATTTACTACGATTCTTACTTCCTAGGACAAACTGTAAGTCGGTTGGTTCCTTACAAAAATTCGCTTAGCCCTATTCAGTCTTCAAGATCTAATCAATGAATATTATGCGTGGAAACGTATTTTGTCGAGAACTTCAAAATTAATTTTATATAACGGGATATTTAACGAGATTTTTATTAACGTATGAAAGGATTCGTTAAGAGTACAAATCCTTTATAAGAATATGAACACTATCTAATCTGGCAAACGTTCTTCTCCCGTGAAGTATTTCGACCAAATTTCATTACTGTAATAGGTGTCCTATGAGTTAATCTTAAAAGATAGACATAACTACATTAGTGTTGCCCAAACGCAAGAACAAGACGAGACTTAGCCAGTCTTGGTCTTGGTCTTGCGCCAATACACCTGGTCTTGGTCTTGGTCTTGGTCTTGCGCTCCCAGTCTTGGTCTTGGTCTTGGTCTTGCAGCAAGAGTCTTGCAAGTCTTGCAAGTCTTGCAATTACCTATTATCTATTACTATTTATTAAAGTTTACTTTCAATCTAGAAAAACGTATTAGAATTGGAAATTTATTGAATGAATATAGCCATAGTAAAATAAATAATAAATAATGAAGATTTGATAAAAATTCGAAAAATCAACTGACCTATATTTTTTCCATGGAAGTAACTTTTCTTAATAAACATTTATATTTATAATTAATTTGCTAAAACATTAAAAAAACAAATTAATTAAATAACTTGACTTATTTTAAAAACAATACTTATCTTTAAAAAAGATTAACCCTCAACTTATAAGAAATTTAATAAAAGTGTTTTACATTTAAATAAAACACTTTAAGTTTAAAACCATATATTATTAAACTTATTTAAAAGATTTTTAACTTGGCCCGACGTTTGGATCTTTGCAGAGCGTGGAACGAAACTCGCAATTAAAAATCATTTTCAACTAATATATTTTTAAACCTTTTTTTATTAAATGTTATTACTCTTAAACTATAAATATTTATTTTAATTTATATTTATTTGAATAAAAAATAAAATACAACACAAATCAACACTTTATCATTAGTTATGATACTTTATATCAATTTTTTTGACCAAGAATTAATACAAAGTAACCATCTGGCTGACTGACTCATCACTTAACCTATTTCTATTTAACAATAATATAAAGCTGTAAAAAAATTCGAAATTATTTTGATGAGTATACCTAGCCTATGGCGGCAATCAAATATTCAAATTTATATTGTACATTTAATTTAAAAGAAGCCCGTTATATAACATTATTCAAAAGCGGCAAATTTTTTGAAATAAGTACAAACTTTTGATGCCATTATATCCGATTTAAAAATAACTATATACTATTTATTTTAATAATTTTTTTATTTATTTTAGTATTATTAATATTTTTAATTTTAAAGTTTTTTAAGAATTCCTAGTATATAAAGAACTGTTACTTTACTATAGTAAATAGGTAATCCTATAAATTTAGGTATTTTTTTCTTATATTTGGTTTGTTTGTAAAATAGGTTTGTAAAAAGAAGAAAAAATAAAAATAATTTGGGACACTCCATAGTCTGACGAAGACAATTTTTCAGATTATTTAAAGGAAAATATTTCTTTAATACATATTTTTTTGGGTATCGCTCAACGAAAGGGTTTTCCACGTTTCCTACAATTTCTTCGCTTCTATTGGTCACAGCCTAAACCAAAACCAACAAAACAAATTTTAGTAGTTCCTGATATTAGCGCTTTTAAAGAAACAGACAAACATTTTAGCTTTATTATATTAGTATATTGTTAATTTATTAAGGCTATGTGTGTCTCATTTAAATTCAACGACCAGCCGATCTAAGTTGAAGTTGGGGGTCAAGGCGATATGAGAATTTTCCATAAGTCAGTGTTATAAAAGTATGTTTTACTTAGAAACATTCTACGTCTAAACTGTCCACTTAAAAATGCAGAGCTAGTTTAGATACGCGTCGTTCGTAAAACAAATATGGGCACGGAGCCAACTTTAGTTGTTTTTCAGAAAAATGAGGTGAACGATTATACTTAGGTCTCTTTGTTTAGTTTTTCTCTCGGTCTGAAGTGTTTTAGACGTTTTTTATCTACACCCAAAGTTAAATGTAAGACCAAAAATATTAGGTGTCTAAGTCAATACTAATAGAAATTTACTTACGTTAATGATAGAGATGGTACAATGCACTGTGCCGATTGGCTATGTACTGGCAGGAAAAATCTTTCGCACAGATCTGAAAAAAAATCACAAGTGCATCATAACAAATCTAAGGGAAACAAGTAAAATATTATTTTTGTTATTTATTATTATATTAGTTATACACTTAGTATATACGTACACTTTATTGTATGCCCGTTATTTTCCATTAAAACAATTATTGTTTTAGGAACAAAAGCGTGTCGAGACATGAATTAATACAATGTATGTCTCTTAATCTCGTAATTGTTATGAATTAAGGAGTCATTCATTGGTGACACTACAACTTTATATAAAGGATTTGATTTTTAGGTTGAAAAAACTTGTTTAATAGAGGTATTTATACTTTTCTAGATAATACCTAATTGATGTTGAAATCGGATACGATGATCTTGATAAAGAGGTTGTTTAAATAAAACACTTAACGGTTTAAAACGAGATATATTATTATATCGTTTTAAACCGTTAAGTGTTTTATTTAAATGTGTACTACTCGCGTAAACTATAGACAGTATTTAAAGAGGTTGTTCACAATAAATTTTTGCCATGTAACTTTGACATGTATGTGATGTAAATTTTTGATAATTTAAAGGGTATGTAAAATCGAGAAAGTCGTTCGTTATATCGAGGCACGTTATGTATTAAATTAAATTTATCCATAGCTATACTTCCCGTTTAAAATTTGGAAATACTTTTTGCTTTTGTGTACATAATAGAACTGAAAACATTAATATTTTTCACATGTTATTGCACATGAAGGCACTATATAATTTAAAAATCTAAAATATATTGAAAAATTTTCGACTCGGGCAGGACTTGAATCGGCATGGTCAGCGTTCCGTGCTGTTGCTCTCAAATTGAGCTACCGAGTCCTGTGGAACGCTGGCGATGACGGTTCAAGTCCTGCCCGAGTCGAAAATAATTTTTCAATTTATTTTCGATTTTTAAATCATAATAGAACTTACCATCGTCAGCGATGCTACAGAGGCCAGCATCACTAACCGACCGACCCCTGCTTATCAAGCGTGCTTGCTTCTTGAAGTAAGACCATCTACGGGCGCCCGCGACAGCATTCCGTAAGAGACGGTTAAACCTGTGGACAGTTAAAATATTTATAATACCTGAACGGCGACTTCGTCTGCGTGGAATAGTTACTTGGAGCATTCAGTTTTTTTTTGCAAAGAACCTCAGCTTTATGAAGTATAGCTGATACCTACGACGTCGTCCGCGTACCGTCGTTCTTGCGAATTAATCTTAAAAGATAAACTGTCCGTGGATGTTTAAGATCATTTAAAGACGAATTCATATAAATTTTTGGTTCCTTGAACCGTTTTTCCAGCACATGAAACGGAAGCTTTCAAAGATCAATAGTTTCCCCGTTTTTTTACGTTTCTACGCTTCTATTGGTCGCAGCGATACCAAATTCATGACTTTAAAACTCTATACTTTAACGTCATTTTTTGTTAAACAAATATACCAAGGGAAAAATATCATAGTGTAAAGTCATCGTGTGTGGTGTGTATTCAATTATTGAAAATTATGAATGTAGCGTTTACGGTCGAAGATAATTTAACAAAATTCTAACTCAAAAACTTCAACTTCAATCTCTTTAAAATTTCATAAATTATTTAGATGTCAAAAAATGTTTGTCTGTCTGTCTGTTGTGATTCTTGGAACAGTCAAAGTTTAAAAGGAGAAATATTACCATCGCCACTACCAAATAATAAGGTATGATAATAATTCAAACGTAACTAATGGGTGGATGATTAAAGCATTGCATTGTGGCAACACATTTTTTTGTTCTTTTCTTTGAACTACAAATATTTAAACAAAAATTCAGTCAACAGCTAGTACAAGGTCTGGTGTTACATATAAGCTTAGATAATAATAATTAATATACATCATAGTAATATTTAGTGGTACATAATATATAAGCTATCATAGAAAGATATTTACTTTCTCAACGGTGTATCCGAACATTCAGACGGGCTCGATGACGTAGAGATGTCGCTACCAGCAGAAGAGAAATGTCCCGATACCTGGAAACTTGCACTTTTGCGAACTTTTGCTCTGATTTTCATTTTTAAATTACAAGGAAACACGCAATCATTCGACAACGTTGTGTACCCGTTTTGAAATTCATACTAATGTGTTCACAACTGAATATACCGAGAATTATTTGTCAGTCGTATCTAAAATTAGTCCGCGCGGCGACAAGCGGTCGCGGACTTTTCGTGTTTCAATTCGATTTGATTAAATTATAATCATAGATTCGATTCTATACGACATTCTTTACATTCTACAAGTTTTTTTCTAAAACAGAGCAAAACATTAAAACTTTTCGATGTGAGTCAGTTTATTACAAAATGTGGTGTTAGTAAGTTAGATTGTTACTTTATCTTTATCTTTTTTATTCTTCAGTAACTATGTCAAGGCAAATTCCTTATGTGCCCTACCGAATTTTTCATTGTTTACTCCGGATTGAAAACCAGTAATTAAAACATTCAATATTTTAAAATTAATTATGTATGTACATATTAATGTGTTTTAATTACGTTATATAATGTTACGTCTGGTTCATAGTATCTTAAAAATATCCGTGTTAGAGACCTTTAGATAAAAATTTCTTGATGGTATATATCATTATATTACAAATATATTTATCTATGTAGTACAAAATGATTTATTATTTACATATTAAAATGATTTAATAACATACCACCAAGTACTGTCTATAGTTTACGCGAGTAGTACACATTTAAGTAAAACACTTTAACGGTTTAAAACGCGATATATTAGTTAAACTTATTTGAAAATGATTTTTAACTTCGGCCCGACGTTTAGGATGCTTTGCAGCAGCTGTGACCACGTCTAGCTAATATATCGCGTTTTAAACCGTTAGTGTTTTATTTAAACATACCACCAAATCAAATGAATGCTGAGGTTTAGGAGCTGCATTGGAACAGGCATATTGGATATAATAAGAAACAATTTTAATTCTTAAATCATTTATTTAAAGATAATCCTATCTAAATCTAACAAATAGCTACTATACAAATATGGAAGTGTACTTAGAAGACCTATTTTTTACTTAGTCAAACACGATATTTTTTTACTTATAACAAGATCAAAATGTTTCTAATTTTGTAGATGCCATAAAAATAAACATTAATCCTAAGTTTGTGTACTTCTTTGTCAACAGGCACGGAGTCTCATGTTTTGGAGCAGTTTTAAATTATTGAAAAAAAAGGTGCTAAGAAAAGCCTTCTGGTAGAAGTAGAGCGGATGGGGTCAACCGAGACTCAAGGTCTTGCATTCTTAGCTAAGATAGCTCTTTGGAGTTTTAAGAGAGTGGCTTTGTCTGAGTTTTACATCCCCATCGCCACAGGTAAGGGGTTGAGAAAGCAATTTCTCATAGTAAAAAAAAAAGGTATTGGAAACCTAATTTTAAAAGTACGTAAAATGGTACTTTATTCATAATTCCTATCGTAAAAATTTAAATACTTTTAGTACTTTAACTAAACCATAGTGATTGAACAACAAAAACAATAACATTATGATTTTAACACGTTGTGGACGTCCTTTTCACTAGTAATATGGTCGGCGCGGATTGTTCTGAAAAAAGAAATCATTATTAAAATTAATAATTGTAAAGTAAGAAAAACTAATTGGGTTGTATATTGTGTTCTTTCCACATTTTATAAAAAAAACTGCCTATTCATTTTCCATAAACAACATTGATAGCGTGTTCTAGATGTCAACTAGCGACATCTAGTTATAATTTTACAAAACAAACTTATTCACTAACAATGTCGGGATATCTCTGTCCCCGCGATCAACTTTTGTGTTATTGAGTGAACGAAATTGGCGATCAACCTTTTGTATTATTGAGTATATAAAATAGTTTCAGTACACATTTTATGATTTTTACATTGAAGATGAAACACAATGTGTTAAGTTACGTTAATGTAGAGAGATAACATTGTTCGACAATGTTATCTCCATCTACAAAATAAAATGTATACATTTCTGTCTATTGATTGTTTACTAAAAGCAATAATCAGAATGCTTCTTAGCAAGCTTTTTTTGATAAATCTTAAAGGTAACAGTTTTGTGAGATACGCCAGGTTATAAAAATATAAGCATAATTTCTTCACAATTCAGTTGTAAACATGCAAAATACTTACGAGAGGATTTGGTCGGAATCTGTAGGCAAGCATCATGCGCTTGCGGTACGCATCAAACTCGTCATCGTCAGGTGACACGTTGTCGGAAGTGGATGCGCCCAGACCGAGGTTCGCCATGGGCTGATTAGCTCTGTGAGAGAGGAAAGGATAAGTTGGGGCCTTCATTGTGGGAAAATAATAAAACGTAAGAACGGCTCGTTGGTCAATGTATGGCTTATAATCACGTTTTGCATCGCCACCAGGTATATGTTTCTAATCAAATTATATTCTTACTTAAACATGTTGGACTTCGTCTGGAAACATTCACGGATAAAAAGCCGTGAAATTTAATCACGTTTCCGTTTCAATCTGTGGATTTCCGAAAATCCTAAACCAACAGAAATGATTACAGAACATTCAATCTTGATCTTCGCTTCATGGACGGTGAAATGCTTCGTTTGTATATGAACAATCGGTTTTTCAGTTTTGTTTATTCAGAAGTTAGGTATTCTTTACTCACTTATTAATAGGTTCAACAATACCAGTACCCTCGGCTCCCAAGCCTTGTCCTTCATTCCATCCCAACTTCTGCAGCATTTTGAAACCTGAAAAAAGTAAATATTGTGAATATAATGAAAATTAACGAACTGCAATAAGAACAAGAATACAAGATTTGAGCAACTGCAAATAATTCTTTACTATTAAAAGGAAACACTTTTAACGGTTTTTATCATATACTTTTGATTTTTCACTGTGCTAACAAACCAATTGTAAGTTATTGTTTACATGTATGGTATTAATCATAAACACTTCTTACCAACATTATCCTCCTTCAATTTGTACTCTTTATAATCTGAGAGATCAGGTTCCTTTCCACCTCGAGCCGCTGAATACTTCTCCATGAACCTGAATATTATTTTTCTTTACATGTATGTTATAATTGTGGGGGCGTTTTAATAACACGTTAGACCGAGAGTGGCTGATTTTATTACAAATGCACACTATACTTATTTTGTTATTTAGCTAAATAAAAAATAAATAAGTATAAAAATATATACATTTTGTAAAAAGGTGCATTTTACACGCATTTCATTATATCAAAACAACGTAACGCCCGTTGTGATATATAAATATACTAGCTGTGCCAGCGACTTCGTCGGCGTAGAATAGTTATTAATTTGTTTCTCATCTTTATAAATTTTAGCTGTTAAGTCCTCTGCATCCCTTCGTTTTTGCAAGTAATAAAATAATTAAAGGATTTTTTTAAACGTACAATGTACTGCCGCTATACAAAGTGTAAGAGTCCGTGGTGATTTATAAAAATATAGTCTTTGAAACGAATAAGAAGTTTGCTTACTTCCTCAATTCTTCGGGTGGTAAGAAGTCGCCGATGTGATGTTTCCCAGCAGCCTGCTTCGTCAGTTCGTCGGCCCATTTTTCCGTCGCAAACATTTCTTTTGCACGCAATCTTTAACATAAACACAAAAATATCTTCCTTAAGGGATCCATAGAATATTACCATACTCTTCTGAATCAAATTTTTAATACATGACATGTTTTTTTTATTTTATTTTAATATGTGATACCACTCCTACCACATAAGCTTATGTTCTCTAATAACCGTGTATATAAAAGTTATTGAAAGAAAATATACAATGGATATTACCTATGTTCCCAAGTACCCTCCGATGTGTCCTCATCACTGTCATATTCATATTTGTGTTTACCGGCAGCATTCAACCGTTCAACTTCTTGTCTTTTTTTTAACATGTCCTGAAATCGAAGATATGAACTATTGGAAACATTTGACTTTTCTTTAATTTTAATTATAGAGTAAACAGAATTCATATTTTATAATTTATATCTTGTAGAGCCGTAACGTTGCGTAATTCGTTATGGCACTAATGTGTCAAGTTATCACTTAAGTTGGGTAGTCAGACATTTTTTTTATACAAAACTTTACTTAATACGTCTGTACAACATTACAGACATATTCGAATAAGCGTTATAATGAATAAATGAAACCAAAAGAAAACCTGTACATACTTGATATAATAAGTTTAATTTAAAATTATCTTCGCACTTCTTCCAGTCTTCTGGGCTAAGATTAGTGGAGCCAAAGTTCATCATTGCATACTGTAGCAATGCTGGATTTTGTTGGTTCAAATTAGTCAACTTCAAGCCTTCACCATCTATTTTTGCTAACTTTGGACCTGTAACATTATCGCAAGTAGAAAGTATAAATATTATTTAATGTCAAATATTACTCTCTTAAACAATTTTTTTTTAAATATGGGTTTAAGTAGTAATTCATTAAAGCCATAATTATTGCAAAAAAAACACTGAAAGATTTCCGACAACACAGGGAGAATAGCTGAAATGATTATGGTATTCCCAATAGAAAATAATAATAAAATTAACTATATCAATATTTTTTAATCTGGATCACATAAATTTCTTATTTACCATAATTATAACATGTAGTTAGTAATTTATCACCTGTAATAGATGGTTGCATGGCAGTCATAACACCGGGTGGTTTAATATCCGTGACCGGTGGGTCATCGCCCCAACGGGACTTCCTGCGCTTACGACGTTCCTTCTTCATATCAGAATCGTCATCACTTTGTGAGCTATTGTGTTCCGCTTTTATGTTATTGGTCCATGGAGTATTAGTCTTCCAACTGTAACTTGAAAAAACACAAATAGATTAACATTAGTTAAAAATATCTGAATCTGATTAATATTAAAAACTTATACCATTGAATTTCTTAAGTATTATTAATTGATAAATAATTCATTTACCTACATAATATACATTTTGAGTTAAGGTTCATCATTTAGTTTTTTCATTGTAAAAAAGGTCTGTGGAGATAAATTGTTGGCAAGAAATCTTTTATTGTAAAGGTGTATATATTTAATGTTGAGGCTTATAATCTTATAAGTTAGTCTAAATCTTGTTAAACCTATAATCTATATCATTACAAATGCATGGTAGTGGGACAATGAAGAATTTCGTAGGTTCGCCAGTTTAAACAAAATGTACCTGTTATTATCCTGTCTGTCCGGTTTAGCGTCATTGCTGTCATCATCCTCCAAACTGAATTCTGGTTCATATTTATCTTCCGGCTTGACTTCCGGTTTAACAGCAGCCTGACCATCTGAACGGATTTTATTAACGAGATCGCGAAACGACTTATATTCATTAGAATTCTGGTTATGAAGGAACCTGAAATAATATATTTTTTAATTTAGTCAGCGCTGCGTTGATGATACTAAATAACAGATGTGTTTAAAAAACCTGTAAAATGTCTATGAAAAACTGTTGAGTAAGGGGTAACAGGGAGTTTATGTACAAGGTTAAATTAATGATCATTAAGAGACATGTTTTAATTTATTTAATTGTAATTTAAATAAAAAACATTGCTTAATGATAATTAAAATGTATAGTTTCATATACTATATGAGACTTTAGGCTTATGAGCAAGTTAAAATAATTTTGTGAACTATTTTATAGATAAACAAACCAAGTGTTTTCAACCACAACAGTATTCCATAGATCTTCTCTCACTAAGTAAAATATAAAAATGAATACAGCAAGTATCCTCCTGTCAGGTAAGACTGTTTAGTGGCATTACCACATATTTTGGTCTTGGGAGTGAATGGATTTCAGGACATTCTCCCAATGGTCGCCGTTTGTCGCCACTTCGAAGGCGGCACGCTGGACAACAGGCGGCATCCGATCTGCAGAGAAAACTGCACACCACGAATCAACAAACGGTCTTTACGCCGCAAAGTCGTGTAACGCGGAACTACGCTGCGCGCGATTATAACTATTTTTATAGATTACATTATGATTTCGCAACTATGTCTCTAGTATATTCAGAATGATATCTAGACTACAATTTAATTGTTAATTTTCTAACACATTATCTAACATCTTAAGTGTCTTTGTACTGGTGAGTAACAACTGTTCCTGATTAGATTAATTGATTGTCTTAATATTCTTTAGTCAGTACAAAGACCGTGTAAAAATAAGCCATTAGTCTCACCTTGTGGCATATGTGGATCCAAATCGTTGGGTTCATTTGACTGTTGCGCCATTGTAGAGGTTGTTGGATTCATAGAATCGGAAGGTGGAATGCCTTGTTCAGGTATTGGTTCAGTTAGGCGTGGGACATTTGGCATACCGGGTGGCATGAATGGCATATTTCGAGGACCATTTGGACCAAAGTTGGGGCCATTGGGTCCAAATGGAGGTCTAGGCCTCATAAATGGCATATTGGGATTATTAGAATTATCATTACCATTAGGTGGCATCATGGAATTTGGTGGGCCATTTGGTCTCATCATTGGAGGATTAGAAAATGGAGGAAAAAAGGGGGGCATTGGACCATTAGGTCCTGGACCTCGCATATTTGGCGGCATATTACGCGGTCCATTAGGGCCCATGAAATTAGGAGGCATAGGAGGAAAGTTTCGTCCACCCATAAAAGGGGGCATAGGTCCACCGGGCCTCATCATAGGTCCTGGACCCATATTGGGCAGATTATTTGGCATGGGTCCATTGCCACCAGGCCCCCAGGGGCCCATTGGATGAGGACCAGGAAATACATTATTAGGGCCCATAGTATTATTGGAAGCAGAGGAAGCAGAATTCATCATCCCAGGTCCCATTGATGGACCTTGTCTCATGGAACCGGGACCCATTGGTGGACCTTGTCCCATGGAAACAGGACCCATTGGTGGACCTTGTCCCATGGAGCCAGGTCCCATTGGAGGAAAACCAGGGGGCATTATATTGGGATCCCCCATAGAAGGATTATTTGGTTTGTTATCCATATCAGCAGGACATTCTGAATCAGGTTGTGACCACTGTTCATTTCGAATTGAAGATGGTGAGAGAGGTTCAGGGGGCATGACAGGTATTTGCATGAGGGATGGTATATTTCTGTGTTCAGACAGTTTCTTTCGATGTTCCATCACTGGTGTCATCGGACTGTTTGAGCTGTTGTTTCCACTGTCTGGCCAATGTCTATCTCTAAAAGATTAAAATTATATATTACTCTGAAATAATATAGTCTACATTGATATAGTTATAAATAATTCAATATTTTACTAATTACCTTGGTTTTCTATCATTAGAAAGGTCATTATTAGCAAAATTATCATCAAACTTCTCTATTTCCTGTTTTATTTCAGCTTTATTCTTCTGCTCGTCTTCAAGAGCTTTTTGCTTATCTCTTTCCTCCTTTTCTTTCTTTTGTTCAAGTAGTTTTTTATATTGACTCATGAAGCTTCCATCATTCGAAAAAATATTAGGAGAATTGCTTTCTTGTTTTACACCGGGGCTAAAATAAGAAATTATAATTTAAAGATACAGCAGATAAATAACACGTTCGATAGAGTTAATGCGTAAAGGGAATTAATATAAACTAAGTAGAAAGGTTTGAAGTACAATCCATAACTTAAAACCCGCTTATTGAAGAGCCTTACTTGATTAGTTTGGCTTGTGCTGCTAAAGCAGCAGCTTGCTTTTGGGCTTCCGCCTTCGCCTCGATCTCCATTCTTTTTCTTTCTATTATTTGTTCCTGTTTGGACATTTGCGCCCATCTTGTTGTTAGAGCAGACGACTTGTTCTTACTGTCTTTGAAATTTAACATATTCTAAGCCTAGTAAAGAGGATTTTGAGATAAAACTGAACAATAACTCAAATTCGGGTTAAAATTTCGCTTAGTTGAAATGCGAAAATTACTAGAAATCCGCAACTTTAGATTTCCAGGGCACTCCGATTTGCTTAGAATTCATTAGCGAACGCTCTTGAATGACAGTTGCACAAATGACAACACTCGGCAGTGACAGACAATAAACTTTGTTGTAGACTAGACTGAGCAAGTAGACTTGTGACTTTTCCAAACAACATATATAGATATAATAAACCCACAGAATAAACAATAATCATGTTACGTATGACCATTGTGACTATAAATAGTGTAATATAATATGAAAAAAAGAGTAAAAATAATTTATTACTTAGGCGATTTGTTTTACGTAAATTCTTGTAATTAGTTATTTTTGTTTGATTAAAAATAATAGTAATGTAAGGATTTTAGAAAACGTAAAATTATAAATTAATTGTCATAATATTATATTACTATTTAAGTATGAACCATTTTGATGAAAATAAATTTAGTTATAGTATCTCAATCCCTAATTTCCCGTTTCGGTACTACAATTGATGATGAAATGTATGGTTGTTGAAATATTTTTACGAATCCGTTATAATCATCTACATCAAAACCGTCTATTATATGTGATTGCTGAATTCATTATGAATCATTAGAACCATGGATGATCAACCACTTTTTAATGTAATATAGGCCAGTATATGATAATTTTAATGATTCAGGTATAAGACATAATATATAGAGTGAAGAGTGAAAATCCAAATTTCCTGAACTCAAACAACTTGTTTTTAAATACTGTATATAGTTTACGCGAGTAGTACACATTTAAATAAATCACTTTAACGGTTTAAAACGTGATATATTAGTAAAACTTATTTGAAAATGATTTTTAACTTGGGCCCGACTTATCAGATGCTTTGCAACAGCCGTGGTCACGGGGAGACACGAAACGTCGGGCCGAAGTTAAAAATCATTTTCAAATAAGTTTTACTAATATATCGCGTTCTAAACCGTTAAAGTGTTTTAATTAAACTTGTTTTTAAGTTATTAATTAAACGGCTGTGTAGTATTTACGTAGAATGAGCTCTTAACTAAATAATTGACTTCTAAACCTAAGTAAAAAGACTTAAATGAAACAGCCGAGATCATTGCATATTATTCTTTTTATATTTTTTTTTCATCAGTTTAAATGGAAAATACAATTTCATTTATTTATAATGTTGTCATTTATTTATTGTAAACAAATATATTATAAAAGATTTACATATTACTATCAAAACAAAATATTCACAAAATGGCAGACTAACTAAATACTTAACTCAGCTGTTTTTTCAAGCATGCTAACAATTGCATCGTTTTGAGCTAAACAAGAGAGAGAAAGTTTGGCACTGATCCCACAATTGAAATTAAAAATGAAGATAGCATAAATGCACATTGCAGCAACACTATCCGATTCCTAGCAACCGATAGTTAGTCTGTTTCCCCAGATTTGGAATAGGTACCTTTTATAACAATACTCTAACCATTCCCTGCAGCTCTTCGCTCGATCTTAATACTGACTTCACACAATGCATTCGTATGTAAACGTTAAGCCAATCGTGAAGGACAATGCTGAGAGAGCCTACATCTGACAATTGATTTTGTGGTAACTTGACAAACTTATCGCTGCCTCATTAAAATCGAAATTCAATTACTTAATAAAAAAAAACAACAAACTCATGTTCCTTTCATAACAATTCAAATTCCATTGAATGGATTAAATTAAATCAATTTATACAATCAAAATTTCAAACAATGCCTCAATCTATTTAAGAACGAAAAAGTACCTTTTCTCATATCTGCATTACCCTGCCTTAACAAAAATTAAATTTTACAAATAGACAGTTGGCGAAACAAATATTAAAGCAATGGAATAGGACATGAGCAAAGAAATCACGTAATATAAAAGGGGCATTCGTTGCCGAGTCAGCCCGACGAACGCCCCCTCCATAGTGAGTACAATCAAATGATTTCCGAGTAGCGAAGAAGCCGAGTCCCTTCCACTGTTACACGATGTGCCGAAAAGGAAAAGTATAATTCATAAATTGTACCTATACTTTGTTTATAATCTAATTTTTTTTACATTTTAATAATTTAAAAAACAACCAGCACTTGGTCGAGAAATTTATATCCATTTTTTTTTTGTGTATTTTATATTTTGATGAAATATTTAAAAGCTAATTAACGTGAGCCGATGTCAGGATTCCATAGCTTGTCGTCGTTCGCTCGAACCGGCTGGCAAGTGTCGGTCCCGCCTGACTCGAGCTTGTATAAACACATCTATACACAATAACACTACCGCATCGTCTATACATCTTGACTCATATAATGCACTGATATCTCAAGGGGCACAAGGAATATCGCAGCATTGTTACGACGCAGTCGCCGTCGAGACCCGGCTCACCGCGTCCGCGTCCGTCCGTCCATAAGCTATATCGTTATTATTAAAAATAAACGCTACGATTACATCCCTTAACAAGTCTAACGTCTAATTCGTACTCTATTTACATTGACATAATACATAGTATTTAAATTGTTCGGTAAAACGACAGCCTTACGATACCTAGGCCTGTCTCGACGGCGGCCTCATCTCTCTTTTTACTGTACAGCAAATTTACAATAACATACAATACGTTTGATCAGAATACGCAAACTCAATCGTCTACATCTAAAGAAATTATGTAATTAAATGTCCACGCATCGCCCGCCATTAAGCCGCTATAATATCAGCTATGTGTATGATAAGAATAACAATGTTACATTTGCACATGACAAAGATGCCACCGACACTCGGTGTACTAAAATACATAATGATAAAGAAAATAGGCCATTTTCATTGTTAAGATCGCAAATGGGGTTAACACAACCTGATCGCCATCGCGGTCTAATCGTTTACGGGACGCAATAGAACAAAGCAACAATCAGAAAACGTGGCGAGTTTGTCATGCCGCAAAGGATGGTACATGCTTCGGAATTAGTACTTCTAATTTATCACTAACTAGGTTTTAATAAAAAGTTGACGTTACTAGACTCTATATATCACCTACTCTGTACAATGGACTATGATATTCCATAGATATTCAATTGGTATAAACATGATAAAATACAAATATATCTGTCCGACCCTCCTAATAACTTAATAGGTAACAATCGAGCGAATTTGACACTTTATTACTCCCTTTGTGACAGCTTAGTATTAATTCATTACTTAGTAAGGGATTTGAGTTCTCTCGTAGATTTGTATTTCAGTTATCGTATTGACGCGAACCCTTAATCTACGACATGTCGCCGTTATTAAAAATAGAGGGGATTATAATGATCAGCGTCGCACGGACGCATCTATGTACTAAGTGCATCGACGAACAGTGCTGGGGTCGACGATCAACTGGAATGCATAATCACAACATCCGCTTCATTCATAACAAGTCAACACACAAGAGATACCTCCAAGTGAAACAAAATGTACTACTATAATTATTATTTGTAATAATCAATATCTATGCAATAATAATAAAACAAACGACACTGCTTACACTACTGGTAACAATAACATTCTAAAACGGTGTTGTTCGTAGAGCGGTCGAAATGAAGTATTCGCTAAATATATTAAAGATAGTGTGATGTATAGATAATAGAGCAAGTAGTTAGTGTAGATCAACGTCGTAACTATGAGAATTTCAATAAATAATAGTGACAATAAATTAAGTTCCGAAATAATTATATCTAATATCATGACGTATTGAGCATTCGTATGAGTAAATAAGAGAAAACAACAAACGTGTGAGCAAAATGTGTGGCACTTACGCGAGAATTGACCGGACAACTTGACAATTGTTGACGTAGAAATTACGTACCGAAAATTGACCGCGTTTTTTAAATGATGATTAAAACTATAAGAGTCTACTGAGATTTTTCACAAGAACCATACAGAGACATAGCCAAAACGAAAGTAATTGAATTTAAAATTATTGGACTATACGTGGTGTTATTTGAGTTAACGAAACAAAAGTTTTACCATTTCATATTTTAAGTATATCGTTATCAGATTCAACTACAATGAAAATGAGATAGCAACGCCGTTCGACACAATAATTGACAAAATCAAATGAATCAACAGACACACTAACAACAGTTACATTTTGACGTTATTATGTTTCCATTACTCTTTATAAATTATATATCATTACGCATAATAACAAATAAATAGGTATATACAATGAGTGGAATCCGTGTGCCCTTTTTGTAAATTATTTTGGACTAAGTTTGATAAGGTCTGGCAAAAAAGTGATGATCGTTTTGGTCAATCGTTTGTAATATATGAGAACTTTAAAAATGTGTTGAAAATTTAAGTTTTAATTTAGTATTCGTAATTGATAGTGTAAAATGGTGGTGGAATACGGCGTATTCTTTACTTGAGGGACAAAAAATAACATCACTTAACGCTAAATCATTTTCAAATATGGACGTTAGAATCAGGACAAGTACGTAAGACGGTTTCAGCTAGCACTCGGGTCATTTTGTGTAAAAATTGTTCACTTAGAGTAGAAAAGTAGTGAAGACGAGATTAACTGCGAAGAAAAATTAATAATTTCAAGCAAGATGTACAGAACTGAGTAATGGTAGTGTCACGTGGTATATAGTGAAATGATCCCGAGCGAAGACTAAAAAAACTACGTTTTCATTGTAATTTGGAGGGTAACCCGAAAAGGACCAGATTATCTTAACACTAGTGGATGTTCAACACTGGCCGGTTGCTAACTTGCGAGACGTTCGTAGTAATTAAAAACTAATACTTTATTATTTTTAATGTATTTATAATTTGGCAAATATCTATGACCATTTGTAACATAACGGCGGCGCTGCGTCGTGACCGCGCCCCATCTAATACTATATGCGGTCCAATCTATTTACACGAGTTACTTTTGTGACGTTCACGAGTTTTTATTATGTACAGGTGACGGGCGCGACGTAAATTGATACGGAGGATCTTCAATTTGATGTATATAGAACTATAATTTTATAAATTTCCGAAGCTTATAGAAAGCGATTCCCACGATGAAATTCTAAACGATCTCTGACGTCACAACCGATCACAAACTGTACGCACACGATCTCAACAACGCGGGCACGACGCATCCGGACACGATGGAACAAATATAATATATTAAAAATTTAATTCAATAAGAATGGTAATCGAAAATAAAAAGTATTACACTACCCATAGTCAAATGTAACAAGAACATGATAAATCTTTATATAATGTACTATATATACAACATGCAAGCGGGGCAAGACGCGTACATTGAACGTCCAACACGAAAACATTGGATGGATTTAAGCGAAGGGACGATAACGCGTTATACGGCAATATAAAAGTACATAATTGTTTTTAAAGGCATTCCGTCCTTTAAATTGACCTTTAGAATTGAAATAATTTTGCATCCATCCATAGTGCACCCAATAAGACTTAATATTTGTAGCGATAAAACCAGTTAAAGCAATCCACCGAACCGGGGTGCAGTGAATTGTCTTTAAATAGCTTTATCAATGTTTTGAAAAACTAATAAAACTTGGCAAATGATATTTTTGGACAACAATAACGAGACGGCAATATTTCGAATGGAATTAAACTTGGACGAACAAACTACTATTGGACTATAATTATGTACTTAGTCACAATTAAATATATTTTCAGTATTTACATTATACAAATCAAATGAGATTAAAATGAAAATTAATCTTCTACACAAGGTGCCTTGTTGATATACCTATACACGTTCAAATTTGGTTTCAGCTTATAGAAAATATTCTCAGCGGGTGTTAACCCGCTGCAAGATAAATAATTTGAAGGAAGTATAGCGGTCTCACCAAGCCACCCTGCTCAAAATAGAATGTCGCTTGCAATTGTCAAACTACACTACCAACAAGAGCAAATAACACGAAAATATAAACAGTAACCCATGCCTTATATTTCCACTTGCATCACTCGATAAGACTTAAGTTCTTCTATGACTAAGTAGAAAGATAAAAGCTAAAGAAAATAATAATGTTCAATATATATATTAAATACAGTTACTGTCCGAAAATATGTATTATTATAATTATTAAGCTAGGTATTCATATAAATGTTTTATTTCATAAAATTCGTAATGGGCCCTCATGTCCGGTATACTGCGGGGACGCTCGCTTCGTGTCCCGATATTCAAACTTTTTACATCCGTTAAAATAATGGAAGAACTCTTCAACTTAAAATAATATGCCGCAATATTTCATTCGTAGCCCAAACGGGCAGGCGAGCCTGTGTGTATTTCAAGTAATCTGGACGTTATTCCGCAACGGTAAACGAGAACGTATCAAGTCGGTTAAGGCAGCATCGTTAGGAAACATACAACCAATATTAATATACACACATTTACAATACTGCAATTTGGCTTGCACTGAACATTCGACACGTCACCGTTGAGCTACCGATGTTGGCGCCGATAACTTTATATTTACACGTTTTGGTCCTAATGTTCGTCTATTAAAAGTATCGTTTATCGCCCCCGCGGCGTCCAACAACAGTAAGGCGACTTCAGCGCGGCGAGGTTTTACTTTTCCACATTTTAATCACCTTTTGACAGATAGATGACTTATGCCCAGCGCGGGCAATTCTAAAAAAATGTGACAAGATTCCCGTCCACATAATTTGCGTACAAATCTGTCATGACATGCAGCTTATATCGACGTAGATCGTTTGACTCTTTTTTGAGAATTGCCCCCCCAGACGACCACTTTTGATTTGCGTTGTTTCAAATTCTAGTGTTCTAGAACTCGACCGCATCACCAATCAAACGAGGTGATCTTATTAATATGTGATAGATCTGTCAACGGTTCTAGTGTAAGTTTAGATAGATTTGTATACAGTCTGCCACTCGGGAGATAGTTGTGTTGAGTCCAATAAGCTGCACATTGGTTCGTAAGTATTGAGTACTAGAGGCAGCGGGCGGGCGGCGGCGAACTCGAGTGTCAGTACGCTTGCGTCGTACTCGCGGCCGATACTCGCTCGGGCTTCAAGTTGCGCTGGAACAACACAATTAATAAATGCCACCGATCGTTATATTGCAACAAGGTTTTTCTTTAGGGACGTTCCAATAATCTGGAGAAGACACGGATTGAATTTTCGGGATTTAATCATAGATAAGAAATTATTACGAAATACAAATTCTCTATGAAGTTTCATGTTAAAGCAGTTTATTAAAAACAGTAGTAAATCCTATATTTAAATAAAATGCTTTGCAGCAGCCGTGGTCACGGGCAGACTGACGAAACGTGTTAAAATATTTTTTAAATAAGATTAACTAATCTTTTTCGCGTTTTAAATCATAAAAGTGTTTTATTTAAATGTGTACCACTCGCGTTAATTATGGTCAGTATTGATTGTTACTGTATGTCATCTTAGAGATATGTATTGAATTATTATTGAAAATACAACACAATTTATGACAATATAAATCATGACTTCATGAAATACATCTTTGAATTCGTATGATATTTAGGATGGTGAAGTCATAGCTAACATGCATAATCAAACAAAAATTAATGCTATACAAACGAAGAGACAACTAATATTAAATTCATTAAAATGAAAACAGTTGTGTTTGCCCAATATGGTTTGTATTTCTGCACTTGTGTCAATAGAATAAAAGTTCACAGATATTAAGATATTATACATTCTATCACTATTTACCAAACGCACGAATCACGTGATCAAATAACACTAAACTGTATCATAAAACCTTAAATCCCTGTGATTGTTTAAACAGATAAAATAAGGGTTGTCTGGAAGAGATCGCTTAATAGGAATATGTTACACTACATAGTTTAAAGATATTATTTTGTGGTCCGTGTTAATTGTGTGTATGGTGTAAACATTAAATAAAATAAACGCATTATACTTAGTAAGGAAAAATCGAATATGTATGTATTAGAAATATAAAGGATCCTACACACTACACATTTCTCAATAACACATATACTTACTGGTAAATCTCCATAGTCCTTTAGGTGCGTTAGAGACTTGAAAAGCAAGAATTAGCAATACAGTGCAGCTTCGTTTGTTTGGAGCAATTAGTTTTTTAACTGACAAGCTTCGAATGGACACATTACAAAGCTAATAGCGGTTTGAGTTCAAAAGTAGCTAATGTTAGCTTCATTGTTAGCAAGCATGATGACGTGTATGAAGATATGGTAATGGTCATCCGCCCCTTACCAGTTCTATTGGAACTCGACGTTTACTAAATATGTGTTGTCGGTTCATCATGATGTTTCCCTTCATCGGAAATCACATGTGCTAAGTGATTAATATTTTCGAGCGGGTATTTTTTTTATGATAGAGGAGGACGGACAACGCGGCGTTCACTTGATCGTAGGTGAAATACCCGAGACTATAGCAACTAAACAAAATGATTTCTTTCGTCCTATCTCTCGATGTCTGTGTATTTTATTTAACTCACCAGCTGATCATACTGCAGCACCATCCGCTTGATATGATTGAGTTTGCGATGCAGGAAATTGACGCGCCGCCTCTCTCGCTGATAGGAAACATCGTGGCGCGCGCGCTGGTATTCCTCAACGATGCGTTGCTCTATGCTCTGTTGGACATTCAGTTAACAGTCAATTTAAATGGAAAATCTATTTAAGTTGACATTGCGTGAGAGTTGCATGTATATGAGTTGAAGAAATTCGATGAAGGCACGGTAGTTCAATTGGTTAGAGAAGCAACACGGAACGCTGTGATATTCCGGTTCAAGAAGCACTGGTTTTTTTTCCGGGTATGTGGAAAAAATATTTAAGTTTTCTTATATTCAATTTATTGGTGTTGTGACACTTTCAATATAGCTATTGAAAGTCACAACAAGTCTAGTAACCTAGTTCCATGGAACACTGCAAATCTAACAAGGGCTTACCCGATGGTGAGGCGACTTGGGCTCGGCGAGTTTGAGCTGCTTCTCCAGCTGAGTGAAGAGCGACGCGACTTGCGCGACGCGCGTGTACAGCGACCGGTACTCAGTGTACAGTGTCGCGAATTCGTTCTTGTACGCGCGACGCGTGCTCGAACTTGTTATCGGGGGATATTGCCTGAAATTAACGCAACTTCATTATTATCCTATATTATATCTAATGTAAATACTAGCGACCCTCCCCGGCATTGCTCTGGTGCAATGACACTAAATACACTACAGAAAAACTGTAAACATATAAAAACCTTCTATATTGCTCTCTCTATCTATTAAAAAAAAACGCATCAGGCGACTTTGCTTTATACTATGTAGTTTTAAGCACCTTCGAATAGCAATTTATAAAAAAATAATTTTAATGTTCTCGATATTTGATCACTTACACATAATTGTTAATAAAGACGCAGGTATTTTTAAATATCGTTGTAAATAAACCTGCCTTTGAGTCTATAACAATACATTAAACACACACCTTTCAATATCTACTAGGTCATTCGTCGGATTCTCTTCAGGCACAGACGTTAACACTGCATTTTCAACTAATGGTTCGGTATTTGTGATGTCTTTTACTGTAAAAGAAATAAAAGTATGTTATTTCATACAAACATTTAAAACTGTTCTATTTGTTAGATTTTTTGCAAAAAGAGTATTTACCTGTGATACTAGTTTGCTCTACTGGCGGACTACTTCTAAAACCGTTGGGTTTGACTGGACTGGGACAGAGATCCTTAACAGTAGTGAAGTTTAGAGTGTAACCATTGTCCTTTTTCACTGTAAGCCGAGAATAACACAATTAAATCCTGATATATTTCATAATAAAGATAGGACAGTACTTTGTTATCATCTCCAAAGATTGACACATAAGTGTATGTTCACAGTAAGACTTCCACTTCTTCTTCATTACATTTAAAACATTCAATTATATCTTGTCATATACAAGTCCAAGTAATTAATGGTATGAAACCAATTAAATTGTTATTAACAAAGAACCATACAAAATGTATGTTATGTGCAAATCTGATCTAATTTTTATTCATCAATAAGCCGTTTGTACATTAACATTGGAATAAGGTTTTATGATCTTGAATTGTAAACTAGTCAATTGCATTTATGCATTATTAATATTCATTTTTATATAATAGAATAGGACGTATAAGCACTTGATGTAAAGTGAACCTACCCTAACTATGTAAAATCGTAACGAATGCGTTATTGACCTATCTTTGCTTTGAATATAGGTCGCGGCACGGGTGTTTAGCCCTGAACGAAGTCTAGAGGGGATAGTTACGCATTTGTACAATCGCGCACGTAATTGAATGAAAAACGTGACTGTACTCGAGAAACGAGTAGGACACCACGACTGAGGAACTAATCAACGCTAGCGCACATGACGTTCGCTCACCCCGCGCCCGTTTCCGTCCCTCCGATTCCTTATTTTTTCTTCTGCGCAGGATTCGTTCAGCGCTAAAGATCCGTGCCGCTACTTCTACTCGGATATAAACAAACTAAAATTTCACAAATTTTTCATCTCTGGATGGTGGTTTCTAACCCGGATAGAATTTCGATTTTCCTACCACCCAAATTAATATTTAAATAAGGCTAACTCTATAGTCTTATAATTGATATTTTTAAACGTAATGTACCTAATATTACGTTTAAATCAGCTTCGGTATGATACTTAGTCCTATGATATCGAAAGAATTTAAACAATCCTAGAACATTCTTGTACTGTCGTTGCTATACAGTGAGATAACACAAAAAGGAAAATTATATATGCATTTACAATAAAAAAAAATATATAGCGATTTGTTTTAAATATAAGCAGTTTAAGGTCACATCGCTAGTCATGCAGCTTTGATTATCGATTCAAGGAAATCTTAGGAAACGAGATTGCTCAATACAATTACTAAATGCCAACTTGGATTCATTACACAATTCTTCATAAATCAAGTGATATTGAAAGAGGAAGGAAGTTCTCTTATATTAGGCATTGTTTTATTAACCTTGCGAAGACAAGGGTGAAGTGTGAATGTAGTTTACCTTCGAATTACTTATGTAATCGTGCAGTTTTACATAGTAGCAGTACTTATTATTTTACGCTTTTGAGTAATAATTATGTTTGGATGTGGAGAACTCCATCGTGGTGGTCCAAATTTTAAGGAATGACTAACACATATAAGAGCTTACAAATATTGATGACGATTACAAAAACACTGGGCAATGTTTGACAGACATTGATTTTTATCTAAATTTTGTGCCTATTAACAACCAAAATTAAAAAAAAAGGTAAAGTTGAAATTCGACCATACTGTTTTAGCCATTTTTAGTTACAAATAAATATTACGAATATTTTTCGCGTTTTAAACCATTAAAAGTAATTTCTTTCAACAAAAACTTTGCATAACTTGCAACTATAACAAATTTAGTAATTTCGTTGAGAATGCCCCCTGTACCCACCGGTCCGGTCATCCTCGTTGTCCGAGGCGTGCCTCTCGCCAGAGGACGTGGTGGCGTAGCCAGAGGAGGGCGGCGACGGTCGGCGATAGTGCGAGATGCGCTGCTTCTTGCTCGCGGGCGCTTCCTCCGCGCCGTTGCCGCCCCGCTTGTTGCCCGACGGCGAAGCGCGCGGCGACAGCGAGTTCGCTGAATCGCTGCTCAGCGGCGGTGTTAGATTTTGAGGTTTCCGCCTGCAAAAGCAAGGTTTGGAGATAAATATTCGCTGGTTATTAACGACAGTACATTATTTTGACGGCTTCGTTGGTCTAATGGCAGCAATGAAGGGCTAAATAATCAATAAGACGTGGGGACGATCTCCATCTGGTCTAATCTAACGTGATTCTAATAAATTTATAATTTTTCTGACAAAATGTTGGACATCGTCTGAGAATCTGGATATTGATTCGGTGGTAGGAATATCGAAATTCCGTCCGGGTTACCACTCTAGAGATGAAAAAGTGTTGTTAAAATTGTTTGTGTCTTTCTTGTATTTTGTCCTTAATATATAGAATAAACATATAATAAAAAATGAATCTCCCCATTTGGGGCGTAGGGCAACCACATTGGTATGACCATTTCACAGTTTTTTTTAGTCTTCTCCTTGACCAAAAAAATAATAGTAACCCCGGATTTCGAACCTAGGACCCCTAGGGCTTTGCACAATGCTAGTCAACGTTTATTCTTTTTGCTACGAAGGTATAAGAATACAGGGGAATATTTATTATAAGTAATAGACTTATGTATCGCATATCCGACTAAATTGCACTTTTTTTTTGTAACTACTTTTAAGTTTTTCAGTCTTAAAATATATCTGTATTTATGCTACTACTTAACACAAAATTGGGTCTTTAAAAGTCTCTGAAGTTATGCCAACAAGATGCTCTAACGCAATACGTCAGCACAACTTACTTTCACTGCGTGTTTAACCGTTTCATTTTTTAGGCAAGTAGGCCGAAATGTTTTTACGCGTCAATATCATTTATATAGAAACTAAATTAATGTAAAACCAAATTATTATATTATGAATTCTAAAGGTACAAAATCTATTTTAATAAAAACCAATAAACACGACATTTGAGCTACCGTGTCGCACACGTCATTGTCGAATTTAAACAGATTGATATATGTACCTCTCGCGCATTATTAAGTAACTCAAATGGTTAAAGCAGCAGCACGGAATGCTGTGAATGCCGGTTCAAGTCCCGCCCGTGTCGTAAAGTTTTTTTAAATCTTAATAGTTTTTTATTCATGTTTATTATATATAATTGTTTACCTATATGTTATAGACTTTTGCTTCTGATTTGTTTTAATCTACACGAGCACAAATATACAATATGGCGACTACAGAAAAAACCGAATCACAAACATTTCAACATGACTTGCGCGATTACCGATAATAATCACAATATAATTATGAGACTTCATATATTATCTGTAATAAGTGTACAAGGACAGTAGGTATTTATATTAGCAGGCAAAAAATACTGATATAAACAGAAGTGTTCCGTCTCATAAATATTGCCTCTATACCACGGTGCCTACGGTGTCATCTGCTTTTGTAACCCATTTAAATAAACTAGCTGACATTGATTATGAGCCATTGGATCCTAAGATAAATGGACCGAAATAGCCTATGCGTTCGCGGTTTCTATAGTCGATAAATAAACATTGTAAACGATTCGTAATAGTCTCATATACTCTTTTATAGGGATTCCCATATAGGGTATATACTGGAAAGCTACCGCTAAGTATCAAATACCTAATAATTCACTCTTCAAAATGTACTCTTAACTTAAACAAAACAGGTCAAAGCGTTTAGGCGTAATACAAACATCCTAACTGACGAATCTGAATGACTCAATCCAGTTTGACGTCATTCTACATCATCTCATCACCATCAACATCGGATGATGATATTTATTAGTGATGGCGAATCGTCGTGAACAATTTCTCAATTACGACGGCCGAACAGTTCGAAAACCCAACCAGCATTGCATTATGGCCGCGAAGGCTTCATAATTTTTTTCATATAATATTAGCAGCATTATTTAGTTAGTATAAAGAATTTAAGTATATAAAGTATTACCTCTTGAGCATGCGTTTCTCCTCCTCGGTATAGAACGGCCAATCTTCATTGACATCGTTCCAAATGTGCCTACGTAAGTGGTAACAATTGTCCTTCGCCACGGTAATCTCTGTCAATATCTTAGTCACCATACTACGTTCCTTTTCTTTAATACCCTCTAAAATGTGAGATTAATATTAGAATTATTGCAACGTACATAATCGAACATCGTGTTGTTATAGGCTTACCACAAGATAGTCGAGTATATAGCTCGGGCTTCTTGAAGGGTTTCAACGCTAATAATTGTATAAGTCTTTCTCTGAAAAAAGAAAATTAAACACAATTACATTCGGATTCTAAATAAATTCCTAATTATCTAGTAGTTTCTTAAATACTGTCTATAGTTTACGCGAGTAGTACACATTTACATAAAACACTTTAACGGTTTAAAACGCGATATATTAGTAAAACTTATTTGTAAATGATTTTTAACTTCGGCCATACGTTTCTCCCCGTGACAACGGCTGCTGCAAAGCATCCGAAACGTCGGGCCGAAGTTAAAAATCATTTTCAAATAAGTTTAACTTATATATCGCGTTTTAAACCATTAAAGTGTTTTATTTAAATAGTAGTTTCTTCATAAACATAACAACAGTGTTGTGTTGTTCTGTTTGTTGTTTTATGACAAAGAAAGACAAAGACAGGGTTCATTTGATGGAAGGTTTTCGCTATCTGTTTTGGCTTTAGACATTTAATCTAGACTACAAAACCCAGCGTGAATTCGGATTTACAGAATTTTCGTACCAGCCATTTAAATGGAGGAAAACTAAGTACGCCGCTCCGCATCAAATAAGACACACGACAATTATCACTTATTGTTAAGTATTTTTTTTGTTCGTTCACCAAAGTAATTTGAATGCAAGGTTGATCTATCCAATCCTTCTCCAATGCGAAAGGAGACCAGTTCCCAGCAGTGGGGCAGTAATAGGTAAATACGACGACGCACGTGAGATGTGGATAGCTAAAGAGGATTCAAACTCTCACGAGCTGTTAGACATTTGAAAGACAAGGTCAAGCAATGTTTCGCTGTAATTTCACGTGGAATGCGAGGCAATTTTGATTTATTACCTTGAGCCGTTTTCGCTTTACAATAATTTCTGCATAACCTTGACTACGTATGACTCAGTAGACACTAATCGCCCGTTAACTTGGGAATTGTATTTTACATTATTGTAATGTCGCGGGCTACGTTTTCCCTTTTAGCGTTTACGTATTATAAAAGTTAGATTATACATTATTAAGACTGGTCTTCGAACATTCCACAGTCGATATATACGCACATATATTTAATACGTACATATGATAATGAATTTATGTTAGCAATATTGTTATACACTTATGTTGGTTCAATTGTAAAATATTTGTAAAAACTTGTCATTAAGTAAATAAAAGAAACCTAATTTCAGAATTATCATTGTAACATTTACAGTAAATAATCGAATCCTTGGTGAAAGTGATTTGTAGATAAACACTTCGGTCCGCACTAAGTGATAATGTTACAACGATTTACAATGTACACTTGTTCTTGAATTGACACCAGATAACACCTTTCTTTGAACCGTGTTTCGCAATTCTTTTGTATGTCATTACAAATTGTTATTGTTACTCCATTTTAAAATTCCACTGTCACGTTTAATGCCTTTGATAAATCATATTGTGTTGTAAATACGAAATTTTAAAAGCAACGCGACGGATAAGGGTTACTAGGGTTAATTTTACCTCATTTTAAATATTATTTTAATTTGTGGACTTAAGTTGGCGGTTTTGAAGTGTAGCTTAAGTCTAGTTTAAGTTATGTAAAGACAAAGTAAAGTAAAAGTCGTGAATGATACAATTACTATAAACAGTTTTGCTATGGTCAAGAGACATCATTATACGCGATGTAATCAGCCAAACAACCGCAATAACGTTTCCATAGCCCAGCCACACATTATCAAAGTAGTGATAATAATGTTAAAAACAATATCTGTCACGAACATACATATCTTAATACGGCACAATATAATTGCTAAAAATACGTGAGGTTGTACTCTTTAAAATATAAGAGTACAAAAAAATAGATGCCTGGATTGTTTTTTTATTATAGTAGTTTAAGGGGGGTAAAAAGATAAGTGAGAATCACAATAATACATAGGGGCTTCTCTACTTCAGTAGATTTAATTAACTTTAAATATAAGAAAATTCCACTCTTACTTCGGATTTAACCGGATATGAGAAACAAAATAGATAATATGCATTTCGTTTTATAAGTGGAAAACTCCGCGTCGGCCAATATCTTTATTTATATTATTTAAATTGCTGTTATCGCTTTTGACGTAATGTTTTCTATCAATACTAAGCGCTGTCTAAAAAAGCATCTAACGAAACAACAATCGTGACTGCTCACAATTGTGTTGTTACAGTAAATAGTTTACAGGCTAAAAACAGCCATTTGTATTAGGGCTTACGTCAAATATTAAGTTTAATATTAAATAAAATTTATCGCCGTAGCTCGGCCTTATCATAGTGTGACGATAATATCAAACACGCGATTTCACGCGAGAATGGAAAACACTAATGACTTACGGCAGCGATAGTTAATATGTAGTTGTCGAAACTTCTGCGTGCCAAACACGTCATAACATCATAATATTCTTTAATTATTGCGAATTGCTCGATTGGCTTTCGGTTTTCTGGTGCCAGGCGGCCATTTGATCGTGACATTTCCGCGATATTTCCAATAGTACGTTACATGCTGAATTTCACGTAATTATTGCATAATAGTGACGTATCGCTATAATTCTACTTTTCATTAGCGCACTGTTTATTTATTAGGCGATAAAACTTTGGTATATTAGAGAAATAACTTATCATCTATGTACTTCGTGTGAATTATCGACAGAACTTTGAATGGAAAAGTGAGGCGGATATCTATGGGGGACTTCGATAAGGTGGGAACGTTAGTTACTCACTTAATTGGTCGCCTCGTGAGCTCGGGGTTGGATGGAGGCCGTTGTTGTGGGTTAGGATGCGGCTGCGGTTGCTGCTGCGGTTGTGGACGACTTGTGGGGGGAACAACGGCGGGCCGTTCTAACCGCTCGGGCCTTTCCAGGCGATCCGCCCTCTCGGGGCGCTCCGGCCGTTCGGGTCTTTCGGGCCGTTCGGGTCTTTCGGGTCTTTCGGGCCTCTCCGGCCGTTCGGGTCTTTCCGGTCGGTCAGGCCGTTCGAGCCGTTCTGTCCGATCAACAGCGGCCGGCCCATTTGAATACATAGGATGCGTTGTACGTAGTTTCACGCGCCTTCCAATGTCTGTTTGATTAGGTTTTATCACGCGGGTGCTGAAATAATAGCAGGAAACACTAAGTGGTTATCTATATCTAGCTGAAGGGTTTTATCATCTAATATTTGGAATTAGATCTATAATGTTAGTCAGGCGACATTGTTGCATTGAATGTAAACAAACACACAGTAAAGTACTTCGTTATATTTGATCACGCATTAAGATAAACCATAAAACGTGTATAGATAGAGATAAATTAAGTTTTGCTATAACAGATACTTTGTTAACAAATCTTATCTCTGATATAGTTTTGTGGATGTGTTGGATTACCAAGTTATGCATGTAAAATATGAGCAATTACCATTTGCTCTGTTCCGCGGCGATGGTTCTGGACATTCGGTCCTTAGTCGCCTCGTACGAGTCATCGTTGGCCTGCACCCGCATTCTTCTCGGCAGCGGCCCGCACGACTCCAGCCTCTTCGCGCCGCCAGCTGCATTCCGGACACATTCAAACGAACCCTGAAATCGAACCGCGTTTACATCAGTTTCTACCAAAAAGATTACAAGACAAATCGATATCTCTTAGAAAATAAAGTCAATTTAAAATATGAATTTCGATTTGATTTCTTGTCCATTCTAGGTTTCAGGTTTACATAAATATAAAAAAAAGTGTTGATATTATTGTCGTAAATAATTGAAAGAACATTCCTCGTATGTTCTCAAACTAGACGACAAATCTAGACCATGAAAACAACGCCACCATCTTAGCTCTCATAATAATTATGGATTTGATATCAAACATATACGTCTTACAACATACTGAAATGTAGCGGAAAATAATATAAAATTACTACGTCCATATGAAACGCCTGGAAATCACCAAGCCAGCTCAATCACGTCATTTGTGCACGCAATTATAAATATAAAATGTATTATAATAATTAATGAGAAATAATAATGGCTTATAATGTAATCATTTCTTGTGACGTACGAAAAATTGCAGCAATATAATTTATACATGTAGGTCTTTAACCCAGCTACTAATGTTGACAAATACCTATTAAATGAGGAAGAATTTTCTTTCATTATGATAACTGACTTTTATTACTATCGTGTTTTGAATAGTGTTGTATCTAGTCCATATGTATGTTTACGTGACGTTTTACACATTTGACAATATTTTGTTAAAAAGAGATAGCTTGTTGGTTAAAGTTATACCCATCTCTTTCTAAATCTTTTGAATTATGTATGGTGTTTATGTGAAAATTACCTGTGGACCCTCCATTTCTGCATTGCTATTGATGCTGAAGTGAAATGTGGATTCGCCAGACGGTCCATTGCCACTGGCTGGTGCCGGAATTGAGATTTTCTGGAAAGAGAAACATACACTATTAACATTACAACTAATAACGTTGGTCGGTAATCATATCTCCGTTCACAGTAATTCCCCGATAGCGCGGCCAATAATGATAATGCTAATGATTTTGTGAAGTAAGAAAACGAATTAATCGGTAGCTACTCGGGAAAACCCATGATACTAGTATTGTCTTTAATTTTAATCATTTTATGAGTTGACTTTTTGGAACAACGTCATAATGTAATAGGTATTGATTTAGCATGTTATAAAACAAATATTGCTCGTAAGTATGTTCTAGTATTGCTCATTTGTTCCATTGACTATTCAGAGATGCTAAGGACGCTTCATTGCGACTGTCATATCTGCGCTATCGATGTGAAGCAATAAATTTCCATGATTCATAGCCCGCAATCACCGGATCGCACAACAAAGCGCGCACTGTATGCCACAAAACGTCTATTGTTGACATTTTGCACCTGCGTTCAAATCAGATGACGCCCACGGCAAAAAAGCGGTTAAGACCAAATAGGGGAAGTAGGGGACGGGCAGGCGCGCACTTAATATGTGCCTGCGCGTAATACGCCACTGGTGTTAACAGTGAACGACTACTTTCATCACCAAGAATGGCAACGTCGCGGCTTCGAGAATACGAGCGAGCGACGATCGCCGGACCGTTTCACCGCGGGCGCGTAGGTGGCAGGGATGTGCACGCAGTCATTATTGTAATTCTATAGACTTGAGTGTAAAACTCCTGTATTTACATCAAATTCAGAGCTTAATCTATACTCATATATAAAGCTGAAGAGTTTGTTTGTTTGTTTGAATTGAAAAAAAAAATTGTGTTGGTTAGATCATTTACATTTCTATGCCCTGTCCGACCGAACCCTTAAGCTACGAAGGAGGTCTATAGGCTGTAGTCTACAACAATATTCAAGACATATATTCTAGAAACTTATAACGCAGCCGTACGAAAAGGTTGGGTTTATCGCTTATCGGCGTTGGGCGTTATCGTTTATATTTACACAAATTATTATCATTTGTTGCTTTCGTTCAATTAATTGCTAGGAGTCAAGTTTAATTTGCATTGTTATTGATCGAACGGTCAAGATAAAGTGTAGTTATAGGCCGTCGTTTGGTGACGGTGACATCTCGGAGCGCGCGTGGCCCCGAGCCGCTTTAAGGTCGCGCTGTAGATGTCTGCCAGTACCACAATGCCAGGCGATTAACCTATTAAAAATGAGAAGAGCCGCGAACACCGATGGAGCAATAAACCGTGGATCATCGCCTCTCATTTTTATCAGTAGTCGAATACGATTCGCTTCTGATTCATAATGCCCCCCGATAACTAACATTTATTCAAAACGAAAACCTATTGTTATGTAAAAGTAACTTGACACTTGTTGTCGTCGCCATACCAATGTGAATCTAACCGTGAAATAATAGAGCGCGGAATCGATCGGCGGCTAGCCTACATCGGTTATCTCCTACGGCAGGCGTATTTCCAAAAACAAAATAGCCGACAATGTTTAATTCAAAATCCGGAGCCAGGTGATGCCGGCGTATCGGAGTTCAGAACCCAGGGCGGCGTTTGATGAACCCAAGGTGAGATACAGATATATTGTGCTCAATTATATTGTTGATGAGGAAAAAACCCGCTATGAGACGAACACGCAGGCACCGCGGTGTAGCGCGGGGCGCGGCTTTCTCTGCGGCGGCTCCGGCCGGCCGATATAAGACCGCGTCGCGATGGAACACTTCGGCATTCGGTGAACAGCCGTCTCGCCCGCTATTTGTGTGTTCATTATGTCATAGCATTATCCCGTTCACAATTGTTTTGTAACTAATTTAAAGGCACACCCATTAACGCAATAACAACCCATAAGATTAGACTAGTATTCGTAGATAATGAGAGCGATGCATCGGCTGCAGATTGTAATAAGTCAAGGTCGTCGGTTTCATTGTTTGTCTTTTAGCGAAGGTCATTCTGTACGCCTCGGTTGGACCGGAAAATACGAGGAAATTCATCATCCGTTTTTCAAGGCACTTCTCGAATGTTTGTTTGGTCGATTAATATTTTAATGCTCTGTAAGTGCGCGTATCTAAGCCGGTTACGTCATTTGAGCCTCGCGGACAGTAAATTTCACATGAAATGATTATCTATTGTAGGAAGGATTTCTTTATTGTTTCGCTCGTAGTGCGCAGCGACCGTGGCTTTTGTTGGTTACCTAATTCCACAGCGAGCAGCGAGCGGCACCAAGTTGCGAAGTGAGAGGCCAGTGCAACCGGTTCCATTTATTCAACCGAAAGCTGTTGTCGGTAGGCAGTCCGCGATATAGACTATGATTACTTATAGGTTTGTAAACGAGCGTTTCTATAGGTTTGAGGACTTCGGTAAATATTCAATTATAATGGATTGTGCGCGACGCAAACCCGGACACAAAACGAGCAACCGTACGCCCCAACCTAGCCAGTTAACGTGTTGTATCTTATTGACGTAACGCCGTGGAGGTGGCGCGGGTCGACCGTGGGAAATTCAATCGTAGCGTCTCGGCCTTAGAGTACACAATGCCGGGGCCGATAGCGGCACACGTCAGCACTGAACGATAATAAATAGTTCTCCGCAACACGCATCGTAGCGGCAAATCCACGCAGGCGAGTTGTGATCGGCACCACGTTAATTGCTTACCGGCTCTTTATTATCTTATTTTCTATATAAACAGCGTATCAACTAGCATTAATTATAACAATGTGAACTTGTTTTCAGTGCGACCTTCATTCTCAGCGGCCGATTTGAGAACAAAGAGAAAACTGAGTCTAACACAATTTATTGTTGTAAATTTGTCGCTGACGAGGCACGACTATTTTCGTATTTGTTATTTCCACGTATTCGTAACCGAATACCTGATTAGCGCGCTGCCCTCTTAATACTTTTGTCTGCTGGCCTTCAGTGTAATTCTAATTCTATAGTTTCATTGTTAATGATATTATCATCTCGACTGTAGCTTGTCGCAAGGTAAACAATATTTATTGCGCGTTATTTACTAGTCAGTGCCAATAAAATAATTTTAAAACCTCCATTACCTAAGACGATGCACAGGTAACATTACAAATTTAGTAAGTAACATTATGTAATGCAGAGTGGCCTGTATAATAAAAATATTATTATTGTCATTATTAGATAACGAGTTTACGTAATCATTATATTATTGTATCGCGAGATCGACGTTCACTTTTGTAATTAAACAATTCAACTACTTATTACAATTTGCTGTTGGCAATAACTCAAATTGACAGTTGACCGTTGACGCAACGACTCATTATAAGATTTGCTCGATACAAGTAGGAAAAAGAAATAAGTTAGAATGAATTCAGTGCGTTTGATACAATCGTGAGAAACTATAGTAATTATAAATAAACAAACGAATGGTAAACGTCCGAGCAACCGACACGTTGATAAACAGCGTGCCATGTTTAAACAAGATGTTTCCTATATCACGGTACCATTGCGGCAGTAATGAGACTAATTTCTTTCCGATACAGGAAATCCAATTTCTTTAATATAAAACATCCACGAACTAACACAATTACCGGCGGCGGCCGTCACTTTCATCGCAGACACATTTAGACGCGAAGTGAGTGGCCAGTTATTCGTGAGGTTTCTACTATACTATTTGCATATTCGCCGACTTTCTAATGGACGATACGGCCCTCTTGTCGCAATCGTTGCCAGTGATGAGGTAACGCGATTTATTTAATTTTATTATGTTCCTATAGAGCACGGGCATTGTTGCAATCTACCTGCGCACGCGTCACCGAGACGCTTTAGCTGCGATTTTGGGCTTCGCTTAGCCTGCGCGCTGTATTTATCGAAACGATCTTATAAAACACCGTTCTCCGGCGTTACTTTTACGCTGATCGATTCCGTAGTCTGTTAAATACCCTGATTAGTTTTAAACGGGCTACTGAACCACGGAATGCGCACACGCTCGCCAAGCGAGTTAATTGTGAGCGTTGCATTGTTTCTAATCATCTGATTTGTATGCGTACACAAAAATTCCGCATCTGTCAATGTAGCGCTAACCGTAATTGCAGTATTTTCCATTACGGTGAATGAACTATATACTCGTTAATTGTTTTGCGCGTGCCCGCTGATTAGATTATTAGCACCACTACCATCCGCCCTGTACTTTTGAACGTGTGGCTTTTCTTATCATTTTATCAGTTCTAGTTTCCTGAATGACGTTAAGGAATAACGAATTCCAAATTTAAAGGCGATATTGTTATATTTGTGTCGAACACTTTTTAATTGGCGGCTCGTTCTTGACATTTACTGTCGCCGCATTATAGATGAGTGACATGTTCATGTTGCAAGCGCTTTGCATAAAATAAAACGGTAACATATCGATTGGTCGGAGTGTCTTTGTAAGGATTCATTTTATAGTGCCGTTCTCCTCACGATATCTGCTAGCGACCTTCCGTCGGAGGAGGGGCGCCTCTCACCGACGTGACTGCAACCGCGGCCTTACGTCGCGAGGCTGTATCGAAATATCTACGTAACGAAGCTCTTTCCACTGGTTACCCAACGCCCGATAGGAGTTCTGTCGATAAATTATAACTTACAGTCACTAGCAGATCACGTGAACGGAGCAGGCTTTGCGCAATAAACAATGTCCAGCTAGTCTTTCATGTTATGATAAAAAATCTACAAAATGGACGTTCACTTGTACTAGCGGGGCGAGAATTGGCAAGCCGCTAAGCAAATATAGGGTGTGCCGAGAGAAACGGAATTTCAGAGTAGAAATAAAACCGATGCACGAAAGTAGATTAATTTCATTGAAATTGATTAGTTTAAAGATGAAAAATGAAACAATGGGTGAGTAAAAGGCGGAGGAACATTCTCAGTACGAGATCTGCGACGTCACTGTGCGAGCATTTCCAACATTTACTTTTACTAAACGACAAACAAACATCAACCCGTTGAGTTACACACTGACCCACTTTTCACTTTTAAT